TTCATGAGTAAGAAGAGAAATGATGAGAGGATACTTCCCATACTCTGACCAGTTTGAAAGGAGGCTGGAGCCCCATCTTGGCAGACAGGTCCAGGTACAGAAGTGTTCGTGTGCTGCTGGCAGGAATGAAGGTGCAGCCATTATGGAGGAAGCTGGACAGGACCTGGTCAAATTCAGCACATGTACATATTTTATCAACCAACCTCACTCCAAGAAATTCTTATCCAGTTTATAAGATGTGGGTGTATATGCAAGTGTATTGGGAGAGTGTGTGCTCATGGGGAGCTGGAGACAATGTGGCTGCCTGTGGGGGGAGTGGACGGGGAATATGTGGTAAATATACATTATGAGAAACAGTCAAGTCATTAAAGGAAACTGATTATGTTCATCCAGCAACACGGATAGATCTTAACATCACATGGTGCTATGATACCTGAAGCATAAACAACCAAGTAAAACACAAATGAATCAGACATCATCAACATTAAACTTCTGTGCATCAAAGGAAACCATCATAAGAGAGTGAAAAGGGAACCCATAAAAGGGAAAAAAAGCCTTGTAGGCATAAATCTGTTAAGGATCTACTATCAGAATATATAAAGAGTCTTAGAATTCAACAGTAAGAAAGACAACTCAATTAAAAGTGAGGGAAATATTCAGACAGGCCTCCACAAAAGATACAGCAATGGTCAGAAGAACATGGAAAGGTGTTCAACATAATTCGTCACTGGGGGAAACAAAAATCAAACCCACAATGAGATAGCACGTCACACTCCTTTTTTCCACAGGAAAAAGATCTGAGGAATAAATATCACGACCCAGGACTGGATCCTGGAACAATAACATGATGTCAAAGAAACAAACAAACATATGGTTCGAGCATTCGGAGAAGAAAGCCCACATAAAATCTATAACACAATACTATTTATGTAACTCAAAAATAAGTGCCAACACACACAAATACGGATTTTAAAAATAAAACAAGGCATACATGATGCACCAGAATGGTTGCCAGCGGGAGCAGGAAGAGAAATGATAGCAGAAAATAGAGACAAATGGGAACATGCAGATAAATAAAGGGAAAACCAAGCCAAAACTCCGTGGCAAAACTGCCAGAGCCATTCTGACATGGTCCTTGGTAGATCTGGTGACCAGTGTCATGAACAAGACCTGGCACAGAAGTAGAAACCAATGCTGGAAAATAGTATGACTTGAAGATTTCTTTACAGTCGACTAGAAGAGCCAGGCAGGCCTATCTCTGTCCTGCTGGGGAACATAGGTGGGCAGAGTGGTGGCGACGCTGATGGTGGTGGTGGTGCTGTGGGGAGTCTCTGGCTACCAACACGCTGGAGAGCTTATACCACTTGTGACACCTGGCTTAGGAACTTGGTTAACCATTTCCTTGGTCATAAAAAGTCTCCAACAGTATCTGGTAAAAGGGGAAAAACAAGAAAGGAAAGGCCACATTTCCTTTTTTTCAGCGACATTTGTGTATTCACAGCAAGCAGCTCTGGGTAGTGGGACGGGTGGGGAGGAATCGCAGCTCTGAACCCTGTCCTGAAGGTGAGATTCTGGAACATGGCGTGAACACCAAAAATATCCATCTGGCCCTTCAGTGCAGTTGACAGATTTTATACCGAATACAATGAGAAACCTGGAAGACTTACAAACTCCACGAATCACATTTTTATGGACAGAAGAGACGCTTTCTACATTTTTTTCTCCTTAGAAAAATAAGAGATTCAGAATGTTTCCACAGTTTAGTAGCACTTGAGTATATGATAAAGTAAGGTGTGACCCGAAATGTGACTTGATGAGTCAAACGTGATTGTATTTTAACAGGCTGTGCCTGCGAATAAAATAGACTGTAAAATAGTTACTGCTAGGGAATTTCCTTGCACGGCTCTCTTTCCTAAACAATAATTGGCATTATATAGGAAATCCTGAGTACATCCAGAAGTTTTGGATCATAGTATCAAAGTTAATTTTTCCTTGAAGAAAATAGCCTTAGCAATTTTGGATAACCTCTCAGAAAAAATACCATCAACAGTAAAGGGTAATTTTGGAAAAAAAAAATTCTACTAAGAGAAAGGAGCAGTCTCCTATTGAGCTCTCTTCTCCAGGGTGACTTTTTAAGGCTAAAAAGCAGATTCTAGAGATCATAGTAAAGAAATCACAGTGAAGAAATGGCGACAAAGAGGCCTGACCCAAGTCACATTAAGTAACAACAGTCCTTCAAGAAACATTTTATTGAGCACTTACTACGTGCTTACTATTGTTTCAGGCCCTCCCGTGGGACTTAGCACTGAGCAGGACAAGGCCTCTAACTTCAGGAATCCTAGGGCTCCACATTTCGGTGAGAAAGAGGGTAAAAAACAAAGAAAGCACTGGTTACATAACCTCAGGTAGAAGTTAGTGCAAGGAAGCCAAGCAGAGCAGGGCAAGGGGGGGCTGGGGTGGTTCTGATACCCAGGTTAGGGAAGGCTGGGCAGTTAGGAGCGCAGGGTCTGGGCCAGTCTGCAGGGTTGTGTGCCCCTTCCATCACTTGTGTTGTGACCGTGGGCAGGTTCTCCAGCTGTTTGGGGGCTCAGTGTCCTCATCTGCAGGACGGAGGACTGACAGTGCCCACCTAGGGTTGGGTGAGTGGGAGAGGCCTAAACAGGCATCAGGTGTTTAGGATCACACCTGCCACGTGGTTAAGTGCCCACTAGATGTCATGAGTCTTTCCGGTGGTGGTGAAGCATGGGCACGACCTGGCTGCGGGGGTTGGTGATAAGCTTCTGTTGGAGGGAGCACCTCAGGGGCCTTGTGCAGATGGCGTACATTCTCACCTGTCATCTTCAAGGCGATCTCGAAATACACATTATCATCCTCATTCTACAGGAAAAAACGTGCAGCAGGGAGACACTAAGTGGCTTGTTTAAAGCCATCCGCCAAGCTGAGAGGCGTCAGGGGCTCTGTCTGTCAGAGGCCCAATTCTAGGGGGATCCACGCCCCCGCAAGCTCCTAGTACAGAACTCAAAGTCTCCTAACTTTCACTTCATTTATTCATCCCCTCATCCTTCATTCAGCCATTTAACTCATTTCTTCATTCAAAAAATATTTACTGACCGCCTACTAAGCTTTCATGTTTTCAATTGGTAACATTTTCTTGGTCTTCCAAGAGCAGAGCATTAAAAAAAAAAAGATTTTATTTATTTATTTATTCATGAGAGAGAGAGAGAGAGAGAGAGAGAGAGAGGCAGAGACACAGGCAGAGGGAGAAGCAGGCTCCATGCAGAGAGCCTGACGTGGGACTCGATCCAGGGTCTCCAGGGTCACGCCCTGGGCTGAAGGTGGTGCTAAACCACAGAGCCACCCAAGCTGTCCAAGCAGAGCATTTCAACTGGGACACAGTCAAACAGGAACAATGCTCGATGGGCCACGGAGCTACAGGGTGCTGTGGGACTCACGGGGGAAGTCAAAGGGGCCTCGCTGGAGGGTCTGCAGCCAGTGCTGGGAGTCCAATTTAGTAGGTGCCTGGGAGTAAAATCCTAACACACTTTCTGTGCAGAGAAAGGGGAAGTACTAGGGCTTCTGTAGAGGAGGATTTTAGGAGGAGGGAGCAGCAGAGGCTGGAACAGACTAGAAAAGAGAAATGGACAGGGGCAGGGATGTCATGGGGTCCAAGGGGTAGGAAAGGCCCCTGGGAGCAGCTGGGAGGCATGCTGTGCACACAAAAGCACCCCTCAGGGTTCTGGGGAAGGAGAGCCACAATGGAGAAGGTGATGAGGGAAGGGCAACAGGAAGAAACAAGAATAGAAGAATCAAGAATGAAAAGATCCCGAAACTGACAACGCTAGAGGACCACGGGGGCACCTAGGGGTAGGGGGCATGAATACACATCATAGTACAAGGGATTTTCACATGCAAGACCAACTCTTCATAATTCTGCTATTTGGGGCTTCTCCTCTTTAGTTCTGCAAACTCAGGGAAAACGAGGTGCGCATTCTGTGGTGCTGACGTGATTCATAAACAAAGTGTGAACTGGCGCCATTCAACGTGGTTCCTAATTAGAAGCTCTTAATGATGGACAACCAGGCAGCTCGAACGTGAAGCAAGACCCCAAATGTATTTTATGCCCTATTTCCTGGCCTTCCCCAACCTGGACGGAGGCTGCTGGGATGCAGGAGAGCCACACTGTGCTTGGGCCTGCCATGAAAGGCTGGGGAGCCACAGGTGACTTTCTTTGAATCTTCAGAGGATTTCCTCTCCCCCAAGCAAGCCGAAACTTAACACATTATTTTAAGAAAATAAAGATGTGGTTTATGTATACAATGGAATATTACTCAGCCATTAGAAATGACAAATACCCACCATTTGCTTCAACGGGGATGGAACTAGAGGGTATTATGCTGCGTGAAGTAAGTCAATCGGAGAAGGACAAACATATGTTTTCACTCATTTGGGGAATATAAATAATAGTGAAAGGGAATATAAGGGAAGGGAGAAGAAGTGTGTGGGAAATATCAGAAAGGGAGACAGAACATGAAGATTCCTAACTCTGGGAAACGAACTAGGGGTGGTGGAAGGGGAGGAGGGTGGGGGTGGGGGTGAATAGGTGACGGGCACTGAGGGGGGCACTTGACGGGATGAGCACTGGGTGTTTTTCTGTATGTTGGCAAATTGAACACCAATAAAAAATAAATTTATTGTAAAAAAAAGAAAATAAGATCTGAGAAGTGTCGTGGTCTCTCTCACTTCTGAGTGCCTGTGTCTCTGGCACAAAAGAAACGGCCACCACTCACAAACCAGATTATTTTTCTTAAGCTACTGACAACTTTTTAATAAACTGTCTTGTGAATTCATTAAGCAAAAGAGGCAAAATAGGAGACCTTGGGGTGTATAAATGGTTCTAAATGGTTTGATCCCTGCCCTGGTCCTGGCGGCACTACAAGAAGCCGTCACCTCCCACAGGCCCCAGGATGCTTGGGTGGGCCTGGGGAAAGCACCCTCCTTACCTTCCTCGGCAACGACCGTTAGTGTGACGGTGACGCCAGCATCCTTGATCAGCTGAACAATGCTATCATGGGACAGTTCAACAATGGACTGCCCGTTCACCGCAGAGATGTGATCTCCGATTTTCAGTTTTCCACAGCGATCCGCAGGACTTCCTTCTATGACTCGGCCAATTTTATGAGGAATAACTGGGGGGGGGGGGGATTGCCCAAGTTTTTCAATTATTTAAGATACGTCAGTGTTGGATTTATCAACATTTAAAAATTCAACATCATAACACCAAAAAATATTCTTTAAAAGCAGAGCAAAAAACCCCACAAAAGACCCCAAAAAAACCTGCATGTGATCATCTTACCCAATTGTAACCATTTCCACACCACCTTCCACTCTGGGCTCACATGTACAGATCCTCTTTACACAGCTGCAATCAGAGCACATAAACCTTTCTCCAATTTTATATTGCCGTCCTAACAATCCTGCTTACAGGCTACCGACTTCACTGAAACTTAGGATACCAGCTCAGGAAGCTGGTGTTTCCTGCTTATTGCGGGCCATTGGGGCTGCATCGTATTTTGGCTATTTCAGAAACCGCCACAACGAAACCATCTGTGGTTCTGCTGAAGGGGCATTTATTACCCCGGGGGACCTTGTAAATAAATGCAGTTCAAATTCAAGGTCAGGACTCAGAAGTTACTGGTCAGAAATACAGGCACGATGAAACGACCGTTAAAACGAATGCTACTTAGTTCTATAGCAAAATTAACTCCTTTTGTTTATGCCTTCATATATTTTTTAAGATTTTATTTATTTACTCATGAGAAACACGAGAGGCAGAGGCACAGGCAGAGGGAGAAGCAAGCTCCCTATGGGGAGCCCCATCTGGGACTCGATCCCAGGACCTAGGATCACGCCCTGAACCAAAGGCAGATGCTCAAACACTGAGCCACCCAAGCACCCTGGCTTCAAATTTTTTTAAGATTAGAAAAGCTGAGGGGAATCAGAATACAAAATGTTTAACATTGAGATTATTGGATAAATAATCATGGATAAAATCCTACCCTGAATGCACAAAGCAGGGTCTAAGAGACTTGCGAAGACACACTGTGCAGTTCTACTAGCTCCTGATGCTGAAGGCTTTCCTAGACTATTGAGACACTGCTGTTATTACGGCTTAAAATGAGTTCTCAGACATTCAGGAAATCTTGTCCAAATATCTTTTACCCTTTTTAATTAAGAAGCATTTGTATTAAGAAAGAAATGTTCCTCCATGTTCCTTAATTTCCTTATTGAGGTCAGTAAACTTCTTAGGCACTTGCCTCCTGTTGACCACTGACTGTTACGAATAATTTATGTTTAATTGGCACTCTGAGTATGGCACTCTGAGTATGTTTAATTTCCAGAGTAAAATGGGCTCCTGACTAGTATTTCTGAGTCAGAGTAGGTGTGTGTTAGGGGACATTTTAATAGGCCTTCATTTGAACTGGAAGTTATGCTTGGCCATGATTTACAGCCCCACGGACAATGCCATTCCCCGGCCCTTCTAGGATTCTGCATTGAGAGAGCGTTTATCCTGAAATGGAGGAAGTCAATGTTGGAGCCTTTTAGCTCTGAATTATATCAAGCACTTATCATACCATTTTCCTGCAAACAAAGTGATAAGAAAGGTGCCAGAGCAGGAGGGGCCATGTCCAAGCCAAGGCTGGTGTGAGTGCTTCACTTAGAGTAGGTGGCATGTCAGAAAAGGATGCTGAGGTGGCCAGGTCAATGGCCAGGTAGTGACCTAATGCAATACCTCAGTTACTCTCTACCTCAGAAAAGATCTACCGGGACATGGTGTTCATCCTACATGTCTTGAGAAGCCAATCAGTCAGCCCCTGGACACACTGCAAGGAGTTTGTTCAGACTTGGGAAAGCATCAAACAAAATGAGTCTCTGAAGTGCCAGGGGTACCTGTCTCATCATGGGAGCAATGTGCTCAAAGGGAACAGGCAAATCTTGGTACACAACATTCTGAAGGGCTAGCTGTCTGGGTGAAGAAGGCAAAAGTAGTCCGACTATTACAGCCTAAGCATTTACAGCAGTTCTACCAAAACAGTTGAAAACAGCAAAGAGACCAGTAGAAGGAGAATTCTAAAGGCTGGGAAGTTTTCAAGGTAACCCTGGAGAGTACACATAGCCAACAAAAGTCTGAAGTCCTGCCTTGCTTTTGTTGGTATACAAAGTCCATGGGCATTTGCCATAAAACCAGTTTATCCGTCTTCATTCATCTTTGGCCTAAATCTGTCTCCCAGGTGGGCTTGTCCAGCTGCTGAGGTCACTTTCATGCTCTTATAACATTCCTTTCAGGAAAAGAAAGGGCAGTAACTGGAAATGTCCCCTCTCAAAGAACACTTTGCAAGCAGAACTGAAAAGTATATGATAAGAAAGGGAAATACTAAAACCTCTGAAGCACTGGCAAAACAAAAACTAAACAAGTCCTTTTCATCTTAAATAGAGGTCTTTTCTAGGTACTCTATTCATTGAGTGAGAGAGAGGGAGCATGAGCAGGGGGAGAGGGAGAAGCAGACTCCCTGCTGTGCGAGGAGCCTGACGCTGGGCTCGATCCCAGGACCCTGGGATCATGACCAAAGCTGAAGGCAGACGCCTAACTGACTGAGCTACCCAGGCACCCAAGAATCTCAGAATTTCAATGACTGGTGTCAGAGATGCTACCGGGAACTCTGCTTGGGACAAATGTTGCTAGAAAATACATGTAATCAGAAGGAAGAAATAATCTATCCTGAACAGAGTACTAACCTATAGCAAGAAGGGGTCCATAAAGAGTGATCTATTCCGACAGCTTCCTTTTCACCTGTGCTAACTCTTGTCTAGAGCACACTTCCTCTGTGATGCAGTTCGCAAGCTACTGCTCAGTCGTTGTGAGTGGCAGCTCCTCACCTACACCCGCCAGAACCCTCCTTCTATCTATAGGAGATGAGTGGGATCCCAAGAAGAGCCTGCAGGACTCAGCATTTTGTGAGATTATCAACTAGCATTTCAGGAAAATTACCAATTCTGGGTTTGCACCAATGACAGAAGATCTCAAGTACTTTATATAAAATTCATGGACACCCGAAGCCTAACTAATTTACCATTTGGATTGATAATTAATGAGCTGCAAACACTCATTTCCTGCTATACATGAGCTGTTGCCTTGATCTTATATTTTAATTGGGCTTTCTTTCCCATCTCGTTACTCAAGTATTGATAAACTTTTTAAAAGTCACCCCCCCCCAAAAAAAAAGCAAGAGTCAGTGACAAACAGTTTTATAAATAACACAATGGTGAGAGCAGCAGAGGCTCCGACAAGCAGCAGCAGCCAACATTCATTGAAGGTCCAGGCTAAAGGCTCACATGTATTATCTGTTTTAATCCTTAGACTCCTCTGAGACAGGAAGTGTTATCATCATCCTCATCTTACAGAGGAAATTGGAGCTCTTGGAGGGTAAGTAATTTGCCCAAGATCAGAAAGCTATTAAAAGACATAAGCGGGGCTTTGAATCCAAGGTTGTCTGATTACAGAGCCCAGCACCTAATGACTCTGTCTCCTATAGAAATCTAGCATCTCTGGTACACAGAACCATCAACATAGCAAGAAACAAAACGAATAAATAAAAAAATATTTGAAAAATTTAAATACAGACAAATCTACACAAAAAGGATATACTTAATATATTAAAATGCAATATAACTTTTAAACATAAGCAAATAATATAGAAATTTTAAACCTATATAAGCAATGCAACTTACTTTACTGAATTCCTTCATATTGCTTTGTTTTATGGGGGACCCTAGACTCTTCCTTTACTTTTGGCAGTCTTAGAAAAGGATGATCTTCAGTGTAAAAAGCGGTCAGCATCTATCACACGGAGTAATAATCTTGCACTATTTCTATTACTCTGAATGTGTAGGGTCATCGTATGGCCTTAGAATACCAATATGGTTATCTAAAATGCTTATTTGGTTTAGGAAATGCTGATTTCCAATGATACAACACGAAATCCACCAAAAATCTGCTTTCTTTCATTTTTCTAGCACAGGCCACATAATCATCCTCAGAGCATCAGTGACAGTTCCAGTTCCAAGTGTTACCATAGCAACTGCTTCTGGAAAATGGAAACTAGTTATCAGTGAGCAGTGACCTGATACTATAGTAATAACTCAGCCATGTCACAGAAACCTTCTTCCTTTACACACCTGCATTGATTTTAGCAAGATTTTTGCAAATTGGTTTGGCTTACAACACTCCTGAAAGGGTGTTCTTCTTTTTCTAAGATTTTAGTGACCGTTTAGTCTAAGAGGATCTCACTATTCACGATAGAATCAAATCCACCGGCAAAGGCAAGAGCACATTTTCCTGTGGTCAAAGATGTTTACCATTTGACTTGGAAAAATAAAGTCACCAGACAAATATGATCGATCAATTCCAATTTTCTGGTTCTCATCTTATTTTCATTTGGATCTTATGCTTATATTTAAAGATGATTACTTCTTAGAAACATAAAGGCAAAACAAATATTTAATTTGCTGGATTGTAAGAGCCCTGTACATACTAGAGGAATTCCTCCTTTGTTGAAGGAATTAATATATATATTCAACCTTCCCAGGTGACAATATTCTGTTAAACTGGGTTCAGGATATTTAGATTAATGTTTAAAGTTCTGACAAAATTTTTACTTTCAGTGACAAATATATAAAAGATAAGAATGCCTCTTGTCACTCAAGGAGGTTCCTTTAGAGCTGGAATGTGGCAATTATGATCAAACAACACAAAAGTACTTTTTAAGACATATTTGGGTCATGATTTTTCTATTAATCTGTTTTGCTTCTTTGCAACTGCTTCTAGCATTTAATTCATTTCTGCATACACAGTTTCTCCTAATTAAAAAATCAAAACAAAACCAACCACCTATGCCTCCTTATTTGAAAAAAACTCAGCATTGTCCTTTTGTTGAATCTATTATTAGGGCACGCCCCTAATCTACTGCCATGGGATAACCTGGATGCAACCGGAGCTGCCAAGACCAATTTTATGGAATCTGAGATGACAGATAAACCTGAAGCCTGGAAGTTTAGGTTTGGATTACCTGGTTTTGAAAATAAAGAAAACATCCATCATTCTTAAAAAGATAAGTCTCTAAGGCAACTTATACATAATTCCTAATTAGTCTTACAAAGCCCATTGGGAGACTCAGGAGATTAAAATTGCAGGGACAATAGGTAATCCAGCGGCCCTTACCTCCTGGAGGTGGTTTGTTTTTGGAGGTGAGGATGACAAAGCCAAATCCTTCATTTTCTTTTCGTTGCAAGACTACATCATAGGCCTCTTGCAAAGCAGGCCTGGCTGGGACCTCTGCTCGGTTGAGGCGGGGAGAGCCATTCTGTGCTGAGAGGAAGGCTTGAGAGCTGTCATCCTCAGGTTGTTTCTCTATAATAAACATGACCAATTCTGGCATTTTCAGAACATCATATTTTTTGTTAACTAAAGTGCTTTTGTGCTATACCTTTCATGAGAAAATGTAGTTTTGGATAGCCTACAGTATAGAAAATCAACCCCCCCATGTGAGCTCTGGACGTAATCAGAGCGCAAATATAGGCTGCAGCAGTGTCTGACGTCTTAAATTCTCTTCAAGTGTGTAACTGGAAGAATTATATATATTTTCTCCTTTAAAGGAAGTTTTCTTTTTTTTTTTTTAAAGATTTTATTTATTTATTCATGAGAGACACAGAGAGAGAAAAAGGCACAGACACAAACACAGGCAGAGGGAGAAGCAGGCTCCATGCAGGGAGCCTGATGTGGGACTCGATTCCAGGTCTCCAGGATCACGCCAAGGGCTAAAGGCGGTGCTAAATCGCTGAGCCACCGGGGCTGCCCTAAAGGAAGCTTTTCTTTTCTTTTTTAAGATTTTATTTGTTTATTCATGAGACTACACAGAGAGGAGAGAGAGGCAGAGACACAGGCAGAGGGAGAAGCAGGCTCCATGCAGGGAGCCTGACATGGAACTGGATCCTAGGTCTCCAGGATCAGGCCCTGGACTGAAGGTGGCGCTAAACCACTGAGCCACCTGGGCTGCCCTAAAGGAAGCTTTTCAAAGCTTCCATGAAAGTTCATGGTAAACCAATCCTTCTTGAAATTGTCTTAATTCAAGCAAGATTTTGACCAGTAATTTTAACAAAAGCCGTAATGAAAAATAACATGGCAAACTTCCTTTTAAAATCAACTTTAAATATAACTTAGCACAGGACTAATGTTCGTGATGTTGGGGAGGTCACAGCATCAGGGTCGAGATCCTGCCCCTAGCTGGTGGACAAGTTAGCTATCAACACGGGATTTGTCTTCTACGATGTGTTTTATAAATGCAGTTTTCCTGATTGATGTCAGATGCGCTAACCACCAGCAGCCCTACTCCTACCCCATCCAGCATATAACAAGCTGTCCACATGAACAGCCAATTCTCTTCGGCATAGGTCATAGGAATACCCAGGAAATGGAGAGTTAACTTCTATCATTTTTTGCCTATTCAAATGTGACATCAGAATTCGAGAAAGAATGACACAAGTTAGTACTAACCGATTAAAAAACAGGCAAATTTTGTGCCATAATTTGATACAAACCATCATTAACAACAACCACAACATACTGCCACTGAGGAATACCCATATGTAAGGGCTCCTTTGGCTCAAAACCTACATAATTCTGGGATTATGTTTTAGAATTTCAACAAAGTGCCACCAATATCCCATCAATTAATGAAAAACAAAGGTTTCTTTTGGTATAATGTATGGTTATAATGAACTAGCTAAATGACTCCAATAATCAAACTACTATGAAACTTCATGATGCTTTAGGGAGAGAACCAACCTCTAGTTGCACATCACATTTTTTACTTCATGTGGTTATGTTCCGACCCCAACACAACCAACACTGCATTAAAATCTGTATGTGTCTCTAAATGCTTGATACTTATTTATTTATTTTAAAAGATTTTATTTATTTATTCATGAGAGACACAGAGAGAGAGGTAGAGACCCAGGCAGAGGAAGAAGCAGGCTCCATGCAGGGAGCCCGATGTGGGACTTGATCTCCAGGATCATGCCCTGGGCTGAAGGCAGCGCTAAACCGCTGAACCACCAGAGCTGCCCTAAATGTCTCATACTTAAGAAAACAGGCAGGCCTTTACTTTGAATGTTGCAATCAAAAACACAGTGCCTCATTTTAAGAGTAATGCAAATATTCATCAAGTCAACAAACATTCACTGATGTCCACTCTGTGCCAGGCAGTCACCGTTTTATGTATTGGGGAAATAGCAGTTAACACAGTGGGTAAATATCCCTACCTTTATGAAGCTTACATTCTTGTGCTATAGGATTGTCTTTTAAAATCTTAAAGTGGCAAGAATTCACTTCTGAAAATTCCGATAAAATACTCACAGAGTTATTGATGAGAAAAGTGTATTTATATCCTCATGTAATGGTTTAGACCACAGGCTCTATAATTAAACTCTGTGTTTTAATCCTGGTCCTACTACTTACCAGCTGTGTGTCCCTTAACTATTCTATGGGTAACTATAAAACTGAATAATGACAGTACTTACATCATAGTGTCATAAAGACTACATAAAAGAACCTGTATGAGACAGAGTAAGCACTCAATGAATGGTTTTCTTAAATGTTATATTACATCATATTAATACTTAACAAGCAGAAACATTCTGCTCTCTTTGAATATTTAGGATCATCAGGACCCAAAATCTTTTGATATTCAGCTAAAGGGATATCTTGATATGACTAAAAAACTAACTGTATTTGTTTTTAAGAAAACAGACTTAACTTGATATTCCCATCCACAATACCCAATACCACATTGGCAAAGTCTGTCAATATGTTCATGTAATCTTAATATAGGGGCACCAAATTTCTTTCTCTTTTTTGATAGCAGAATTTTTTCTGGATCCTTTTGACCTTATATGGCCTTCCACCATGAGGCCCTGGACCACACTAAATGGCTTATCTCATACACTATTAAAACATAGTAATCTGCAAAACCATATAGAAAATGGACTAAGTGTCTTTGTTTCTTTATTAACCTATCAGAGCAGGAACAAGTTCACATACCACCATAGAAGATCTTTCTTCTGACAGTTAAAAGCACATGGCCATTTCGAGCAGCAGTTGTCATGAGGTCCAAGACCTGTTTGTGTGACTTCCCTTTGACAGGAATTCCATCAATGCACATCAGTTCGTCTGCTGCACGGAGCCGACCATCCTTCTCTGCTGCACCCAGAGGGATGATGGCTCCAATGTAGATCTGATAAGATACCAAAGTATAGGTTGGTCTATACAGTCAACTAAGATCAGTCAATCTACACAGTCAACTAAGATCTACCATAACCCTTCCCTACTAAGTTAAAGACTTCCTGACCTAGTGCTAAGGAAATCAACAGATTTTTGCAGTTCAATTATGAACACCTGAGAAAGGTAGTATCTTAGAAAGCGACTATTCTCCAAAATGGCACTTCACATAACTACACTACATGATCTCTTCTAGATCTTCAGGGATGAGTACAACCAAGATGGAAAATGCAAAGCTATTCAAGAACTTTAGAAGCGCCACATTCACTTCTATCAATACAACAAAACAAATACACTAAATTCAAAAAACGCAGTTCTGTGGAGTAGCAACTAAAAAGCACAAAAAGTATACCGAATGCCATCAGCAAAGGTTTTTCTACACTGTTCACAGCAACCAGGATAATTCTTAAGATACTCCTGTAACATATGGCTATTAGTAGAAATTCAGTATATACAATAGAGAAGCATTTCTTGTTCCTAAGTCTCAGAGCAGTGATATCTTAGGGGAGAACAGAGTGGCCTGAGGTCCACTCACATCTAGGTAAGTGGATCTGTTCGTTTTGCTTGCCAGCAGTTAGAATCCTGTAATTACGGAATCCTGAATGTCTGGGCTAATTTCAGAGCTGCTAAAACTTGATATTTAAGAGAAAGGTTTCTCCCACATTGAGATAAACTCCTCCTCTTCTTCTTCTTCTTTTTTTTTTTTTTAAAGACTTTATTTATTTGAGAGAGACAGAGAGAGAGAAAGAGAAAAACACAAGCAGGGGGAGCAGCAGGTAGAGGGAGAAACAGGCTCCCTGCTTAGCGGGGAACATGATGTGGGGTTCACTCCCAGGACCCTGGGATCTAGACCTGAGCCAAAGGCAGATGCCTAATTGATTAAGCCACCCAGGCGCCCCTGAGATAAATTCTTAAAATGTCTTAGTCACCACTGACTGTATCAACAAAATAGGAGGCAATAAAACAAAATCACGTCTTCTACCAAGAACAATCAAGGTATTGTCTATTTGCCCTGTATAAGTCAACCTGCCTTAAGCTTTGTCTCTGATAACTGTTTTACTATAGCAAATATGGCTAATTAGATCACATTTATAATACATAAATCAACTGTTCTATTCAAAATAGAAAGAAGCCTGTCATTTTAAAAGATTATTGTTACCTTTCAAGCTTGATAATAATCTTTTTTTTTTTTTGTCTTTCTTATACTATACAGTAAAGAACTTAAATATGTTCTCCAACTTAACAAAGCACATTACTTCTCTGTCATTCAAACTAAGGGCAAAACTTAAAAATAGAACCCATTACATGTGTTCTCAAAACTTATGTGAGAATTGTGTATAAAGTTCTAGATTTTAAAAGCTTTACAAACATAACCCTTATGCTTTCAGAACAGAAACCTCAATTATTTTATATTTTCCTAGTTTCATAGGTACAGCCTGAAATGGCACCCAAAGGACTGAGCATGAAAAATGTCAACCCATTAATAAGAGTAGGTGATGTAATATGCGCAGATTCATGCCACCTGCTTATGGAGCATTCATTCAAACAGACTGATTGTGGTAAACAGGATGCTTCTTTCTTACAGAAGGCAAAAGTCTTCAAATTTACCAAAGGCAAAGGGAAATAAAAATTGAAAATAAGCTGCAGGCACCTAGAGAAATACAGAAATTAATGATGGGTCAACTTATGGTGGACACACTCAGTTCTGGCCTCAGCCACACCATGGTAACTGCGAGACCACCACACAAACAGAAATGCAATCCTGCCTACATTAATGAGATGCCGAGAAGACAGTTTTAACAAAATCTTAAAAAAAAAATCAAATAAAACAAAACCACCATATTCTACCAAATGGCCACCTGAAAGTTCATAGGAGTAGCCAAATTCTGAAGTAGCTGAACTTACAGACTGGTCCGGTCCCTCTCCTCCCAGTACCCGGAAGCCAAACCCCGACTCCTGTTTCCGAAGAAAAACATCCAAGTCCTTGGTGTTTGGTGCTAAGGAGAACCAGAAAATATAAAAGTAAATAAATAAAATAAAATACTTTGACTTACTTGAAAAGGATAACAATAAAACAATGCAATTATTTAGTAGGATAATATTATAGTGTTCAATAAACTATAACCTCAGAAACTTCTGGTTTGTGCAAACTTATATGAGAGCATACTCCTAAAAAAATTCAATCCTAATCTGACTCTAAATAAAACTTTGTATCGAGATTGCTCAGGCACATTTCCCCCACTTCCATGTATTCAGCATTAATACTGCCATTACGTCCTAATGCTTCCAGATCAATGTTATGACACTAAATTCAGAATCATCCAATTTAAGTTAGACATTTGATAGGCACAATTTACCTAAATTAACATGTGGACAAATCCTAGAAAGAAAGCCCAAAAAATGCCTTAATTCTACCCCCAAGCTAAAACCTGTTTCTGAAAAGTATTCTGTATTCACTTCACCTAATTTTGCAAAATGATATTATTTTAAAAGAAAATAATGATCGCTAACACCTATCATCGGATCCCATTTTCCAGCTGCAGAAACTGAGGCTGAGGTAAGTGCCCAGCATCAGGCAGAAAGTAAATAAATGGCAGAGCTGAGATTTCAACTCGGCTTGGTTTCTAGGGCCCGGGCCCTTAGCCCACCCTATTCTGTCCCCCAAACAGGGCAGGTTGCATTCACCAGAATATTAAGTCAAGAAAATCTACTTCACCACTAAAATAATTTGATCTTCAAGAAAATATTAATGTTATTCACAAGTGAGAAGTGTTTGCTAGAAACGTATTGGGGGATTCTATAAAAACTGATACCGTGTGGGGTACATCTTGATAATGTTCCTTAGGAGCAGTCTCTTTTGAGAAACGATTCCTATTAGAATTACGGAACTTTAGAGATAAAAGACTCTTGAGCCCCAACTCAGTTACTTATGGGTGTGGCCCAAAGGGACTGGGTAGTTTCTACCAATACTAAAAATATATTGGGCTCCCAACGAGAAGTCAGAAGAAAGGGATTCTCCATGATTCCATTAATTTAAATTATTGCTTTGATGTGCTTACATCTGGCTTTCATCTTTTTGAATATGGCCTAGGCCTATGAAGATAAAGATCTGGAATTGGTTAACTATGAAGTTGACTATACGTAATATTTCCACTTGTGTACATAGTTTCTTTTTATTTTATTTTATTTTTTGTGTACATAGTTTCTAAGGTAGATTTAGATCTATTTCTCAAAAAACAAATTAATTTAAAAAAATCAAGTCTATGTAGCCTGCAATTTTACTTTGGAAAAGATTTCTCATTTTAAGTAAATTAGCACAAAAAAAATGAATTTCTGCCTTATGCACATTCTCGGCTCATCACCCCTGAGCTGGACTCCCCTGAGCAGTCTAATCTGCTTTCCTCCAAAGGCTGCACACCCTCTGATACACCATCCCTCCTATTCCTGCCAGGAAAATCTCTCTAAAACCCAAGTCCAAAGCGATCATCCCTACATACAGTTAAACCACCCCAAGGCTCTCTATCTTTCAATGATGGACTCCAGCTTCCTCAGAATGGCCTAACCCACATTCCCCAGCTGAGCCTACTCTCCCTTCTGGTTTCCCTTGCCAACAGTACCCAGCCAACCTGAGCTACTTGCAGAACCCAGGCCATGCAAAGTCAATTTGCAAAGGTTATTCCTGCTTTCTTCCCTTTTTATCTTCTCATAAACATCTCTTCATCTTTAAAGACTTGGTGAACAGTAGCTGATACTTCCTACTACTCCCATTGCTAAAATGGCCCGTTTCCTCCTTTGGATCCATGTGAGGCTTATTTGTACTTTTTATGCACACCTTTTTTTATTATATATTTATCTTTTCCACTTAGGTTTAATCATCTTTGTGGCGCACTGCCTACAGAACCTACTTGTCTCTGTATTCCCATCACTTACTGCGGTGTTAGGTAGATAGTAGGCACTTAGTCCCTGGTTTTGAAAAAAATGAAGGAATGAATGTTGAAAATAAATGGAAGAAGCCCAGAGTCATATGCAAATGAGGATGAAGGAATAATTTTTCAATATGGTTTTGAAAGATGGGAAGGTTCCAGTTTTTTAAAAAAATCCAAATGTATTTTGTCTCAAGTGCTCCTGAAATATTCCACAACTACTTACGTTTATCTTCATATAAAGTCTTCGATTTCAGGTAGACCTCTGAAGGATCCAATTTTGGAGATCCTGACCTGATAATGCTGGGTGGAAAAGGCATAGGCTGGGGAATGGGCTCATTTATGGCCTCCAAACTTCCTAAATTTTCCTTTGTATCTGTTTTCTGAAACAGAAAAGGGCCTTACTTAGTTTTTTTTTTTTTTAAACAGATGGCCAATTAGTTCATAAAACTCTTGTATTAACTGGGTACATCAACGGATTACAAGCTGGGTGGGTGGCAGGGTCAGAGCCACAGGCTGTCTGCAGTCTTGGAGAGGTTCACCCTTACAGCCATGTGTACTTGGTTAAGACACATTTAACTTAGATTAGAAAAAATGTACAATGATAACTCCCAATCAAGCAAAGTAGAACTAAATTATGATTTTAGATGTAATTGTCTTTGTAGCCATACCCACATTCGTTGTGGAGATCTCAGCAGCCTCATATCTTATACCTACCACACTTTCTTTCCTGGCACTGTTTGCTGTACCCTTTGTTAGGTCTTATTGGCTATACAGGTCCTGAAATAGGCTACTCAGTCAGAAGAATGCCAAAGAAAACCTTTTAAGTCTGACAGCCTATCACTTTGATAACAAGCCAATTGAGCCCAGAGGCCACAGTTACTCTAGAAAGTCTTGCTTAATCCATCATTAAGAAGATTATCTAAATGTGGGTGTTTGCAGTCCCCAGGAAATTATGGGAAGCTACCACTGCTTGTCTTTGGGTGTCAGGGAGAAGATGGAAGAGTGTTTATTATCTGCCCTAACGTTTAGCTATTTCCTTACCCGGGCTCCTCGGAAACATGAAGAAAGCAAAAGACTTCTAAGTAGTCACTTCAGTGTGCTTGTGCTTTACCATTTAGAGGACATGATTACTGGTCATATGTGCCTCTATAATTCAACAGAAATACTTAACCCTTCTGTCTATTTAACAGAAACCCCACCTCTTCTAACTCACATGCTTCCCCAGAGTTTCTGATACAAGCCCAGGGAAGTATGCGTCCTCACTTCTCCCAATAGATAGATAATCACCACCACAGAGGGCTGTTCTTATGGAGGGGAGCACTGCATCTGTCTTGCTGGATTAGGAAGAAGCATTTGAGGACCACTGTGTACTCACCATTTTGGCAGTTTTAGTTGGTGAAGGAGGACCTTAAAAAAAATGAGCCAGATTTTAAAAACAGAGGAAGCATTTCCAGATCACAAATACTGCTCATGTTTATGGCAAAACTAGCTTCGACTTTTAGCAGGCTAGTAAATCCTATGGTCAACTCCCACTATGTGCCAGGCTTTGTCCATACATTATCTCACTTCATTTTCATGACAGTCCTAAGGCATAAGTGTTTCTACCACTTTACAGATCAAGTAAACAAAAACTCAAATAGATTGCATTATTTCCTCATACCATAGAACTGACAGGTAGCAAGGCAGGAAATGGATATGGGTCCTGTCTGACACCAAACCCTGGTCTCCTTGTTATATTTGTTGGAACCTTGGATAACTTTCCAGTACTCACAAAGAGATCTTCTATAGATCTTACTCTGAGCACATTCTACTGTATCACCCAGAGAAGAAACAAGAATTGCTCAAAGAAATAAGAAAAAAATGAAAAATGTCCCAATGAAGTTAAACTGCTCATTTGCCTCAAAAATGAAAACTAAAAGCCAGAGAGAGAAGTGTGAAGGGCTAAATTTTATTCTTGAAAATACTAGTCATTCATAGGTAGGGATTTAAGAAAGCCCATCAAAACACAACTTTATGATCAGTCCTTGGAACTGGATTTATGTCTGTGAGCAGTTCAAGTCAGCTGATGACCTTGGAAAATAAAAATTATATTTCTCTCACACGGGTACTGTGGGGTTTAATTAACATTTATGGACAGATAATAAAGCTTAAGATAAAAGCTTTACGAGCACAAGCTATCATGATTGCTTTACAGAACAGATTAACACACCATCCAACATTTTGCTTATTCACAGAGATGCTAGCTCTTTCAAAACATCTTCGGTACATTACAGAGGCCCAGATGAAGTACCATAGTTGAAAGCGTCAATTTCTATAACTGCCATCAATAGAGAAAATGAAATTAAGAGGATATATTTCATTTGAAGCAGCACAATGCTGTGACTCTCTCTGATTACTACAGCTATAAATCAGATTTTAAAAAGAATATAGAGGGAAGAAAATCCATAATGGACATGAATGAGACCACTAATAACTAAAAAAAAAACTGCTGCAAAAGATACTGCTTACGGAAGCAGTGAAACAGAACCTGAAGGAAAATGCACACTAACTACCAGTGAAGTAGGCTGAGAAAAGAGGGATTCTCCCCTGGAAGTAAGGACGATTAGCAGATACAAATGCATGAACGATGAAGGTTTTTTTTTTTTTCCCTTGTGCTTTTACTCACCTCCTCTCAAGATAAGCAACGGTACATCTGCACCTACTGGAAACTGCTTTAGCACCTCTACCACTTGGAGATGTGTTAAATTCTGCACATTTTGATGGTAAATCTCCTTAATTATATCCCCCTTCTGGAGGCCTTGACACCACTGACTATCCAATATCATTTTGACCTTCTGTCCTGTTGGGCTGTCAGCAATTGCAAACCCAAAGCCTTTAGGGCCCTTAATCAGAGGGACAGTCACTAGTTCAGGCTGGGAGCTGCCGGATGACGCCAGGGACGCTCTCTGCTCGCTCAGATCCGATGGTCCATTGAGACGGTCACTGATCAAGGCGTGTCCCGGTTTTCCATTCTGGTCCAGAACCACTGCTCCTGACTTAAAATCCTGAGTGTTCATGCAAATCTCTCCCTTGGTTAATGACTGTCCATTGATGACAGGAGTAGCAGCAACAATGTCCACAACAGAATCTTCATTGTCATCAGGAAGTGGATAACCGCGACATAAAGTGAGGTTTACGTACTGATTGACAGGTACCAATTGAAACATCTGGACAACATCTGCATGGGTGTGACCCAGGACACAGTTGCCATTGATATCTACAATAACATCACCTGTTAAGACATAATCAGGTTAAAAATATTAAAACCACCGAGTTCATTTTTTGTTGGGGCAGGGTGGGACAAAAATTTATCATCTAAATTTGAATTCTGGAAACCTCTTACTATTCCTTAACTGCAGAAAGGACAGATTTTGAACACAGATACATCATTTTCTCTTCTGTGATTCTTCTCTTAAAAGAATATAAATGTATAAAACCTTAATTATCTTTGTGGCACAGAGTTATGACCTCAAGCTCGAGGGAATCATTTGAAAAATAACTGTGAATTCATACTGTCATTGTTAGTCTATCTTCTGAGCCATACTTAAGTGGCCACAGAATGTTAGGTCCATGGTGGTAGGTATTCAGCACTTAGAAGAGGAGCAAATAACTCCACTGGCTAGCTAGCTACTTACACAAACAGGAGATCTTTAAATACCACATTATGGTACTTGATTTTAAGAGGCCAGTGATTATAAGGCATCTATAAATTCATTTTAGTTTGAAAAATGTTAAGGCTGATTGATTAGAATAATGTGACGTTATGAATGTATTTTCCTTTAGCATCTTTCTTATTGCAGAGATGTTTGATTTATTGTAATTCAGATTTCAAAAGGAGAAACAAGCAACAAGAAAATTCAACATAAGCAAAGAACATATTATTTAAGACACTGAAAAGTCAGCTAAACTAATTATTATTAGAGTTGGTTTTGGGCAGCCCCGGTGGCTTAGGGGTTTAGCACCGCTGTCAGCCTGGGGTGTGATCCTGGGGACCCGGGATCGAGTCCCATGTTGGGCTCCCTGCATGGAGCCTGCTTCTCCCTCTGCCTGTGTCTCTGCCTCTCTGTGTGTCTCTCATGAATAAATAAATAAAATCTTAAAAAAAAAAAGAGTTGGTTTTGCTTTCCTGATTTTACATTATTACAACCACTTTGTTGCAGAATCATTACTACTTGACATTCATCAGTTGGTGAATTTTTTTAATGCAGCCTTAACTTTTAAAATCTGCCCTCTAATGTCTCATCCATTTGCTGCTTTTATTTGAATATGATTATTTAAAAGGTTAATGCCAAATAAAGGTGTTTTAATCTTTTCTGATTGCATGTAGGCTTTAAAAAATCAACACAAATGGTATTTTAAAACAAATGTTAGTGTGCAGAAATTTGTTTCATAATCTAAGAAGATGCAGAAATTAGACTAATAAAGTTTTTTTTATTTTTATTTTTTTTAAAGATTTTACTTATTCATTCATGAGAGACACACACAGAGAGAGAGGCAGAGACACAGGCAGAAAGAGAAGCAGGCTCCATGCAGGGAGCCCTACGTGGAACTCGATCCCAGGTCTCCAGGATCATGCCCTGGACCGAAGGTGGCGCCAAACCGCTGAGCCACCAGGGCTGCCCAAGAAACAAGGTTTGGATTCTTCCTCCCCTGGTCAAGTTTCCAGAATTTCTGTGGAAGTATTGTTTTGCTATGCAAATTAGACATCAGTTTTAGACAAATCTGCATCTATGTTATGAAACCCTGACAGCACATAGAATACCTACAAAATGTGTTTTGTGGATAAAATGTTAAAGAAAAGTCAAAACTGAGAGCTTAAAGGTTTTACTGATAATTTTAACTCTCCAGGGTTTGTTAATCTTACAAATAGTGAAAAATTTCCTTATAAATATAACTTTTGATTATCTTGTTTTCTTGTTTTAAGTCTTAAGTCTTAAATGAGAAAGCAGAATATGAGAGATGCCATATCCTAATTGAAAATAAGTTGATATCCGCCATTAAAAGTATTATGGAGTGGCCGGATGGCTGAGCGGTTTAGCACCACCTTCAGCCCAGGGTGTGGTGCTGGAGACCTGATGAGATGGAGTCCCATGTCGGGCTCCCTGCATGGAGCCTGCTTCTCCCTCTGCCTGTTGTTGTCTCTGCCTCTCTCTCTCTCTCTCTCTCTCTCTCTCTCTCTCTGTCTCTGTCTCTCATGAATAAATAAATAAAATTTAAAAAAAAGTACTATGACAACTGAATTATCCAAATGGGGGAAATGCATTTGCACTAGCAAATAGGGCAAGAAGTGACCTTCAAGGCATAGTAACATCTGTCTGGGAAAAAGTGCTAAAAGCTCCCCCATAAGGAGGAAGCTTCCTCTAACGTTCTCTAACCGCCTCAGCCATAAAAACCGTCAGCCATATAAAAATATCTAACAATTACCAAGTAAAGACTTTCGGAAAATGATACGAAAGACAAATTTATATGGCCCTGTAAAAATGGTAATTTCATGTCTGTAATTCTTAACGTAGGAGTTTAATTTTACTAACAACCAGTGAGACTAAGGAAGCAAAAAGCAAACCATATCAAACAACAAAACTTGGGAAAAAGCTGTGGGGCATCTTTTGTTTGAAATCACCATAAACACCATGATGGATCATTTTTCAGAAAAGATTATAGGTACATGTTAGATAGCTCCCCAAGTACCCTACATCATCAAAGAAAAACAACCAAACCATTCTCTGGGATGATTAATAACCTTTATCTTAAGCACAGTCAAGGAGCTATCTCGAGATGATACAAATTACTCACAAAATCAATACATTTAGTATGCTTTCTCTAAGTATGCACTTGTAAAAAATGGCCCTCTCTCAAAATTAGCATGCATTGAATTTAGACAATAAACTATTTTAATACAGAAATCCCCCTTCCCAGTTGTATAATCTAGTTCTCTCTATATATAAACTATATGTATAATATACACATATACAGTTATTAGATATGTAAATACATATTTATTATATGTTTTATAAATATATATGTAAACAAAACCTTTTCATCATAGTTTTTATTATAGTATCATTGCTCTTCAAATAATTCTGAGAAATTCGTTACCTGGTGCAATTTTCCCATCCTGAGCTGCAGGACCATCTTTCAGCACATTTTTCACTTGTAAGAACTCATCAGGCCTATCTCCACCAATAATGGTAAAACCAAACCCCATTGTGCTTTTCTTCAAGGATGCTCGAATCAGGACACCTTTCAGCTGCGATGGATCTCGAGTAAAGTGGGATTTTTCCATATCTATACCAAAATGAGAAATGGGGTTGAGGACAAAAATAAAAACAATGAACATGGCCCTCAAAGTCAACCTCTAAGAGAGTCTATATAACTTACATATAATAAACCATAAAGGGAAGCACATTAGAATCTAATATTACAAAACATAATTTAAATTCATAAACTAAATCACTTAAAGAAAAACTTAGCCAATGCCTCATGTCTCTCTGATAGGACTCCTCTATGTTATTTGAAAGGTAAAAGCACCTACTCTATCACCCCCTCATTGCTTTGTTTGTTCATGAGAGATGCCATATCCTAATTGAAAATACTATCAGTAAAGGGCTTCACGTTTCTTCCCTTGTACTCGTGTTCAGTGAATACTTTCAGAAGAAAACACATACAGCTCCATTGAAAAGCTTATTTTCCGAGGCATCCTCAGATGATCCTAAAACTGAAAATGATCCATATTTGCAAATAATGAATTTATACAGCTCTTTCTCTTTCCCCTCCTGCTTCTCGACTGTGGCTGCCATGAGGGTACTTCTGGGAGCCATGAAAAGATCAAATTGTGCGATTAATAATTTACAAAGCACTGTTTAAATGAACTTTTATGAAGATGGTCTGATATTTGCTGCCAAATATTTAATAGTTTTATTGAGATAGAATCACATATGATAGAATTCAGACATTTAAAATATATAAGTCAATGTTGTGCAACCACCACCAGATTGTAGGAACCCCTCTACCCGGCACCCCATGAAACCCTTCTGCGAAATCCCCATGCCTGTTAGCAGCCACTCCCCATTTCTCTCTCATCTGCACTCACACCCTAGTGTTAGGCAAGCACCAATCTACTTTCTGTTTATAATGCCTAATCTGGACATTTCACAGAAACAGAGTCATGGAATATGTGGAATTTTGAATGATTTCTTTCACTGAACGTAATGTTTTTGAGGTTCATCTGTGTTTGAGCATGTGTGAGTACTTTGTTCCTTTTCACTGCCAAATAATATTCCACTGTAGGGATATATCACATTTTACTTATCCATTTTTCAGTTGATGGACATGTATGTTGTTTCCACTTTTTGGCCATTACGAGTGATGCTGTTACTACCATTCATGTGCAAGGTTTTGTGCAGGCATACATTTTCATTCCGCTTATGTAGAGACTAGGACTAGAAGTGCAGCAGTTGTCCTAAACATACAGTAACTATGTTTACTCTTTTGAAAAGTTGTCAAACTTTTCCAAAGAGGCTGCGCCATTTTACTTTTCCACCAGCATGGGTGAGAGCTCCAATTTCTCTGCAGCGTGGCCCACACTGATTACTGTGTGCTTTTTCAGTTCTAGTGGGCAGGAATAATATCTGGCTGTGGTTTTGATGCTCATTTCCCTAATGACTTACATAAACAAAGGTGATTTGTTTCCTACCCAGCTCATCCTCAACACTAGTATCCAGCCCAGAGTTATATGCCCATAGGCTCTGCTGCCCTTATTAGCAAAGGGATCTAGGAGGTAAACATTAAAGCATGTTGTTAGAAAAGAGTAGTGGTTGGGGGCTGCCCCCTATGGCAGCAAGGACTGTGTGGTGTAAAGAGCTCCCACAAGAGGGAGGCCTGCCTGGAAGGTCCTGACAAAGGCTGGCTTGCGGCAGGAATAGGTCTACTTTACTTGACCTGTTCTTCCCAGGTTTGCTGATCTCTTACAAATAAAGGCACTCAGCATGAAACAAATAAAGAAAATAAAGAAAGGAAAGAAGAAAGAAAGAAGGAAAAATCAGCTATTTTGGGCTTCTCAAACTAGAGGACTAGACTCCAGATGGCAGCACATTCACCAGATGGAGACAGTTTTGGGGGTGCCTCCCAGAGCTGGCCAGCCAGCCAGTCTGCTCGTGGTGACCTCTCTGTGTACTGTGGAGCTCTTGTTAAGCCTCTGACATTTAACAATGCATCTAATTTTGAGAAATACTAATAAAATAGTCAAAGCTAATGAGAAGTCGCTCAGAATTAGGTCTTATCAGAATTAAACACAGGAAAAGTGAGAATAAGAGAATAACAGAGAGGAAGTGTCTTTGATTCTAAAATTCCTGATTTTAAATCAACGCTGGGTGATTTTGTTGAGTGATCTTGAAATGTTCTTTGACCTTTTAAAATCTCAAATACTCCATCTACAAAATAGGGATAATAGTACCTTATTCATGCAATGGCCACAGGGACTAAACTAGGGCAAGCATCAAAGCACAGGCAACAGAGCTTGACCAATAGTAACTGCTCAATAAATGCAGATGAGCACAAACACACATACTGTCTACAGAAGGAGGCTTCTGACTCATAAAGTTGAGTACTTCTTTCCTTGTGGTGAGCATCACCTTGGAATGGATGAATCAAATGACTGCAACTTGATGCCATCAAGACATCTGAAAAGGGACCTTGCAGAGATATTCTGAGTCTTAGATGAGAGGGTGTGTGCAAAGCATCCAATCGAGCACTGGACCCAGTTATCTCAGTAAATGGTGGCCATCAATCTCCAAGAACTTGCACAACTTCTATCACTTCTAAGAAGCTTTTCTTGCCCTTTCCACTGTCAGATTTAATTCCTCTTTCCTTTGTTATGTCTATTATCATACTGTACTAAAATTAGGTGTCTATTTCCCTGCCTAAATCATGAGCTCCTGAAAGACAAAGGCTGAGTCATTATTCTCCTTTTAATGCCCAGCTCATAGGAGAGTGCCTGGTTATCTAGATCAGTAACATACACATGGTTTCTGCCCTCAAGGAGCTTAGAGTTTAGTGAGGGAGAGAAATCTCCCTCGATATGTGCCACAGAGACATAGGCATTCAAGAACTCTATGTTACAATACAAAGAACTGTGAATTTAAACTCAGTAACACTAAGTGCAAATTTTGGCTTGACACTCACTAGGACTCTGAGCAAAAGGCTTATCTTTACCAAAGTCTCAGTTTCCATTATGTGCAGTAGAGATTCATGTTTCTCTCCACTTAGCCTCCTCTGTCTGCCCTCTTTCAGTCAACGCTATGAAAACAGTTGCCCATGTCCACTACCTCTACTTCATCACCTACCATTCCTTCTTTGTTCCATTGCATTTTTACATCCTTTCCCCTCGCTTTTGCTAGAGTGACAAGTGACTTCCATATTGTCAACTTCAGTGCACACTTTTCAATTTCTGCCTTTCTGGACTTTTCAGCAACACCGGATACAAATACTCAATTTCTTTTTGAAAATCATTCTTCTCATGCCTGCTCCCCTTACAACCTCATCTCTTGTTACTACCCCACAAATATTCTATGTTCTAGCCATTCGTACCTGTTCTTTGGCCCCTGGAACCACCACTTCATGCATCTATGGTTTTTCACATTCTGTTCTTTCTACCAGGTGTGCCTTCTTGCTCCTCTGAAATTATCATCTGTCTGATTTAATTTTTCCTAATGCTTTAAGATCCACTTCTAATGCATCCTCTGCTTTGAAAGTTCCTCCCGTGGCCTTGACTTTCTCTATCAACCAAGAGGTGAGCATTCCCTCTTTTACACCACCTATGAATATGTTTCCATGGATATAACATGTACATCATTATTCATAACAATGAAAGCTAGTATTTATTGGCAGCCATTTGCCAAATAGCATTGTAAACACTTTACACCTGTTAATTGGCATGCTCAGAACCACCTTAAGAGGTAAATACTGTTCTTATTTCTATTTTATAGATGAGGAAACAGAAGCACAAAGAGTTTAGGGAATTCATTCAAGGTTATGCATTTGGGATTCATACCTGCTCCACCTTCTGTGCATTTAACTGCTATCCGAGGATGACACGTAACACCATATATGGTAGCCATTAATTTCCTATATCAGAATGTGAACTCCTTTTTTTTTTTAAAATATTTTATTTATTTATTCATGAGAGACACAGAGAGACAGAGAGAGAGAGAGAGAGAGAGAGAGAGGCAGAGACACAGGCAGAGGGAGAAGCAGGTTCCATGCAGGAAGCCCTATGTGGGACTCGATCCCGGGACTCCAGGATCATGCCCTGGGCCAAAGGCAGGCGCTAAACCGCAGAGCCACTCAAGGATCCCCAGAATGTGAACACTTGAGGGCAAGATCTGTCTTACTCCTAAACATTTTTGAATATCATGTGACTGGTAGAGCACCAGGCATATAGTACGTGCTCAAAAATATTTGTTAAATAAAAATGTTTGCTCTGCATTAAATCAAATGCAGAAGCTAAGGGACAGGACTATGTTTCTGAAGTGTAGCTATAAAAAACAAGTGCTTCTCTCATGGACCACAGAAGTGAGGAATCTATTCAATTAGTACAGTATGACCATACAGACAACCCTGGTTATTAATGACAGATGGAGGTTGGGGAAGAGATGGGGAGGCATAAGTGGAATGTGAGAAATTCCCAGGCAGCTTTTTCAAAATATACATGGCTAGGCTCATCAAAATATTAGGACTATGTATTTTAAAAATGTTCCCCAAATGATTCTGAATTACTAATATGCTGCCATCCCACTTGAGAATCAATGTTATTGGTAAATAATACAGTGGATTTATTCCTATCAGTTAATAAAGAGTCCTGAATGGTTAGAGACATAAGACCTAAGCATTAACTTGGGAGAAGTTCATAATGGAGTAGAGATCTCAGACTGTCCTGGACTGAAACAATGGGAAACAATGCAATCTTCATATCACAACCTCAGGCCCATGACAAAGTTATTCAATACTTTTTGCCAACTTTCTATACTAGCAGAATGGGAAAATCACAGTATTCTCAAAATGTCTAGATGTTTTATTAAGATTATTCCTACCCTTACAGTGATAAAAATTAGACATTCTCTGATGAACCTCAACAATAAAAAGTTCAAACCTTATTTTCATGAATTCAGTATATAAATTTCACAAGGCATTCTTACAAGAAAAGATTGAGAAAAAAAGTTCTACCTGGTTTTGAAGACCCAGTATCGACCTGTCCTAACTGCTTTTTCCTTTTGGCTTCCTCCACTGGATTTTCAAACTGGGTTTTCTGGTTTAGGTGACTGTAAAATGTAGAAAGACAGGCATTTCAGTTTAAGATGAAAGAGTTATATTATTTTTAAATAGAGTGTTATACCAATTCATTCCCATAGGTTAAGGGGCAAACGTTTATCGTTTATCTCCAAACTATGGAATGCAGAGAAGCTGAATGATGGTAGTGGAAGGGCTTTTGACAACTAAAGAAAGGCCCATTGAAGATGCCTAGAAGTGAAAGCTGCTGAAGCATTCACTATAGCTTCTGCCTCAAGGTACCCAGCAGAGCCAATAACAGTTTTCAAAACCATAGGAGAAGCCCTCACATCTAATGCAATCAGAATGGATGGTAATGGATCAGTTCATTTTCTAAAGGACAGTTAATGGTAGGAGGATTTTAATTCAAGTTTCTTTAAAATGAAGTCGCTAATACAGACGCTTCTGGAAATACCTAAGTATAGAGGCTTTCTTGAATTTTACTATTATTTTTCCAACTGGCTCACCCACATCAATTTAGCAGAACTAAAAAAGAGATTGGTTTTTATCAATTTGTATCACAGAATAACTCTTCCACACTCAACATTTTTCATAATTATATAATAATTAAAATAATTATGATCATAGTAAAAATTTAACTGGTACTTCTGATTTGGGAACATTCACAACTGCCTTGGAAAGCACACAAGTCTGTAGGGGAAAGCAGAACAGCACGGGGAGACTAAGGGTGAACAATTAACTAACGGTAGTCAGTACATGATGGGCAAAAGTGCATTTCACCGGGGGAGCAGAGCACTTGGTTGGTCTGGCAAGTCAGTCAAGTGGAACTTGGTTAAGAATGCAACTACTGTATAGAAGTTATTTGAACCAGTTCTGATACAGAAGTAACAGGAATTACTTTCTAGCACTTCCATGGTACAAATATATTTCAGCCAGATAATAGATAGCATTTTCCCGCAGAATCCATTTTAACAAAAAGTGACATTAGCAAATATCAACAATTAAACATCAAATCATGAGAATCTCAGATCATGGTTGCCCTTAGATAGGCTGAATATTATAAAATTTGCATACAAATAGCCATACAATTTGGATAATTACTTTGCCATCTGTAAACATTAATGGTGGTGATGGAAAAGGGTAGAGGGACCTGTCAGGGCAAGGTATGCTGGCTTTCTCTGTCATTTAGGTTTTTAGTGCATTATTAACTCTGCAACAGATGCAATTATTTAGTTTCAGAGCTCTAAATATGGCAAGTTCCACTTGAAATTCTTTGGGTGATAACTTCACTAAAGCTCAAGTAGCTTCTGCTTCCTACTCAGGGAGGAGCCCTTATCACTGAGTTAAGTGCTAAGCCCTCTGGGAAAATGGAGATCTTTGGTATTAATTTAGGGATTATTTTAAACATTACTTATTAGGTACTGACATTTTACAAATTCTTAGAAAAGTAAAACTACAAGAAAATGACACTTAGAAAAGAATAAACCAAAAAGAATAAAAGAATAAACCTGATGACTTTAACGTCATCAGATGAAGGGCTCATTTTGCCACCTAGGCATTAAAACAGAAAAAGTAGTAATTTACACTCTTTGTAATGTGTGGGAGAGGAGAGTAGAAGTATGCAAATGAGTAAGCCCTTTCCTGAAAATTCTTTGACAAAAGAATGTAAGATTTTAGTGCAGAGAGTAATTGCATCTGTCACCTTGAACTATTTAGATTAAAATGCCACCCAAATAACAAAACAAAACAGAAAAGTTAAAACACCCTCCTTTTCACTTAGTTACTTATATTCTCAATATTGTTAAGATTTAAGAGCTTTTGTTTTCCCTATAACTAGCTATGGGAAGTAAGATAGGAGAATATCACAGATTACCAGAAAAACTAAAAAAGAGTAGCAAAGAAGCATGATTAAATACTGAATGTATAACTTGGAATCTCATCTGCATTAAAACTTTGTCTACAATAGGTGGATTTTAATAATTTATCTCCACAAACAAAATCCTTCTTCTTCCACGAAGAATTTGAGATACTCAAGCAGATGTATATTTTGACTTTGAAACCTAAGCGCATCAAGACACTTAATGCAATACAAGAAGACAACATTTCTAAATATGCAAGCATTCTTAGAGAAGTCCTGCCATTAAGTTTTTGGAACAATTTTATTTTCAAAAATAAATTAATCCATTTCAGAATCTCATCCCTGAAAATAAATACTTGCAAAGAAAAAGTGCCATTGCAGTTGGTGTTACTACTACAAGGCTCTGCCAAAAGCAATCATTGTGCCATCTGGTTTGACAAAGTGAGAGAGCCAAAGAGTAGCCATTCAAGTAACAGCTTTTTATCTCCATCAGTAAACTCACTGCAGATTACTATGGTCGGGATTCAAAATCTGACTAATCTGGGAATCAAGCCACACTCCATAGCTCAGCTGACTCCATACTAATGTGCATCTTGAGTACAGCCTGCTCTTTCTTAATCTAATAAATTACCCTCCTGTAAAATGAGCTCGTCCTGGGAACAATCATACAAAATCATGTTTTTGCTGCTGTTCCTTCTAATTCAGGTTATTTTACACACGCTCCATGACAACTAGGAGCAGGTCACTTCAAGATTTGCCCTAAAGTTGCTTCAATATTATATCTTTGCTTAATGAGAACCAGATCATTTAGCCCATGATTTTATTACAGGCAAACGACTTTTACCTCTTGACCATGTATTCAAACTTACTTGGAAAAGACAGTAAGAGAATGAGAATCATTACTGCAGAAATGTTCAGCAGTGTCAACGACAATTAACAGTTTACTGAAGTCAAATTTAAATAGACAACTCAGCTAGGGGAAAAAAATCCCACAACACCTTTCTAGTTAGCCTTCAAACAATTCTTTGAGAAATGGCTGTTTCTTTGTTTTACCTAAATATGCTTTAGAAAACACACACACACACACACACACACACACACACACAATGAAGGAGCTGCTGTATACTTTTCACATGATAATATCGGTAAGATATTAAATAACATAATGAAAATAAAATTAGCACAGCCTTCCAAAGGAACCAAAGTGTTGACACTGTGAAGTTATATACCTACGGGTCAAATGGAGCTGTTTTCTTATGGTACAAGTTAGATTTTAAGAAATCATTCCAGAAATCTGGCCGTGGGTACTCAAATAACAATCTACACACTAGAATAAAGACTAGATGTACACTTGAAATGAATGTGACATTGTGTGTCAACTATACTTCATTAAAAAGAAAAGACTAGAGTCACAACAGGAGTCAGAGATTCTTACTTGAGGGATAAATACAAGGAAATGGCACTTGTTTACAACAAAAAGTAATGAAAAATTAATAGGCAATCATAAAACTAGAAGGTACCCATGCTTGCTACTTTTTTCGGGAAATAAGATTTTGCCTTCACTACCTCGGCAGTAGGTACAGACTACTAGTTTCTAGGTACATGCTAGTAACATTTTTAATGCCATTATTTGCCTGAGGTCAAAATTCTACCTATAGCATTTGGAAAGAAAGCAATCTCTGATCATCACAATGCAGCAATTGGACAAATGAAGAAAAAGAAAAGAAAAATCTGAAGATGCTGATATGACTCTGATTTCTCATAGGCAGGTATTTGGTGCTTTATTCCAACATAAACTTATGTTTAAATTTAACCATAACAGCTGGGTAAGAAGCAACTTTCCCTCATCCCCCAAAAGAATACTAAGTGTTCCTTGATTAACTCCCAAAGAGATAATACTCTTCTAAACCTGTACTCCAAAACTTGGGATCATTACAGCTTACTGCCCTTAGAGTGCTTTCACTGCCTTCACAACCGAAGAGCTGTGGTGTTGGAAGTGATCTTAACATTTCATCTAGTCTATCCCCTCATTTCACAGTTTTCTACACTACTTTTCCCTTTAGATGCTGTTGTAGTAATGGTAACACTTCCAGTAATTCATCAACATAGCAACTTCCCTCTTGCTATATTTAACTCAAAGCAAACTTCTGGGGAGCTCAGAACCACTGAAGTAAATACTCACTGTCCCTACTTCTAATTCCGAAAGTTGGATTGTAGAAACATAAAGTGTTGTATTTGAGTATTCCCTAATGCCATATAATGAAGGAAAACGTTTGGGAGAATATTAACTGAGGAAACAAACTTACTCGACGTAGTATGTCCCATACTGAGGGTCCTCTATTTTCTCCCAGCCATAAGGAAGTTCTGGAAATTAAAACAAACAAACAAACAAACAAACAAACAAAAAAAAACAAAAAAAAAAAAAAAGAAAGAGATGGAGTAAAATGCCATATTCAAAATCAACAGAGAAGAATTCACCATGAGTGAATTTAAGTGTCTTTTATTTCATGACACTAATATTTGGGAGACAGGCAGAAAGCTGAGGACTGGCTTTAAAAGAACAAACATGGTTTGAGTCCAGTGGCTTCTTCAGTAGCTAGTGAGTGTCTCAGCAGGTAATTAGGAGCCCAGAACAAAAGATGACATTCAACTCAAAGGTGTTTACTCGAATCTGAAGCAACAAAAGTTAATTATTTAAAAAATCATCTGGTATAGATCTTTCATTTAAACAGCTTGATAATGCAAAACACACTTACCCTCTAGTTCAATACAAGAAGCAGCTGCTTGTTCAATTTTTCACCATTATACATAAGTTTTGTCAATTATTTCTGTTATTCTGACCCATTTCTCCCCTTGAAAAAGCCTTGGATTTTTGCCATTTCTGGTGGGCAATTGAGATTTCCTTGAAATCTAAGAAAATATCTACTTTCCCTTGCATTAACTTGAGTTTCTCAAGGAAAATGTAAAATAGCTACTATAGTACCTTGGGCAGAATCCATATTTTCGTCTGGTAACAGAGAAATATCTTACACAGGACTATTACATATTATTCATTCCAGGTAACTGATCAATGAAATATACCCAGAAAAACTGAAGGTAGCTGAATTTCTGATAGCTAATAATAATAATAATAATAATAATAATTCTAGTCTTTACAATAGAAACCCTGTTTCTTGACCTTTCTTGGCCCTGTCAAAAAAGAATCCTCTTTCCTTACCACTCTGCCTGTTTTCCAAGTTAATGCTTCTGAAGAATCATTTTATTAGTTAGAAATGGATTAAGTTGGCAGGAATGCTTCTAGCAGGTGGTTTTAGTGCTAACAACTTATACACAGGAGTCCAGCAAGAAGGAGTTTGTTTTAAAAACCCAGTTATACACTATGATGATTCATATTTTTATTTTCAATTTCTTTTAGTGTTTTCCTGCTACGCTGAAACACACACACGTGCACACAATGTATGTTAGACAACAAATAGGCTTAGAATATATCCAAAGATTTATTAATTTTCCCTCATTTAGCCAAAGTTCTGATGCATTGACTTCTTTTAAAATTTTTTTTAAATTTATTCACGATAGTCACACACACACACACACACACACAGAGAGGCAGAGACACAGGCAGAGGGAGAAGCAGGCTCCATGCACTGGGAGCCTGACGTGGGATTCGATCCCGGGTCTCCAGGATCAAGCCCTGGGCCAAAGGCAGGCGCTAAATCACTGCGCCACTCAGGGATCCCTGCATTGACTTTTTTTTAAAAAAGATTTTATTTATTTATTCATGAGAGACATACACAGAGAGAGAGGCAGAGACACAGGCAGAGGGAGAAGCAGGCTACATGCAGGGAGTCGGATGTGGGACCTGATCCCAGGACTCCAGGATCACACCCTGGGCCGAAGGCGGCGCTAAACCCGAGTCACCCAGGAATCCCCTGATGCATTGACTTTGTAAATAAAAAATTCATTGTAATGAAGCTGACAAGCTATATAAACTATTATGCTCTAATAAATTTATTTCACATTCAGAATAAAGGGGGAGAATAGATAACTAGCCTCTTGATGTAAAGCTCTGAATCACCTTCACCCCCTTTTTCCATCTTATTTTTCTGCCTGTGCGTGTATATGTGTGTGTATACATATGTATTGTGTGTGTATAAATATACATATATGTATATATATATACACACACACACCCCAATTGATTGATTGATTGGTAGTTCTGAAGCTTGGTGAGTTTTTGTGATTTTTCTTTTGAAGGACCTGGCTGAAATGTATGAGATGGAAAAGACATTTACATGGAACATTTACATTTCAACAGGAATAGTTGAAAATGACTATGTGAAAACAGAACAAAACAGCTGAGAATGGGATCCCTGGGTGGCTCAGCCATTTAGTGCCTGCCTTTGGCCCAGGGTTTGATCCTGGAGTCCCAGGATCAATTCCCACAGTGGGCTCCCTGCCTTGAGCCTGCTTCTCCTCCCTCTGCCTCTCTCTTTGTGTCTTTCATGGATGAATAAATAAAATCTTAAAAAAAAAAAAAAACAACAGCTGAGAAGACTTGAGACACACTTCAGCTCACTTTGATCATCCACAGCTATGAAGCAAATAATTGTCAATTAAGTAGGTACAATATTTTATGACAGGTAACCATTACATGGAGAGGAGTATTTGTTGGATTATATCTGGAAAAAATGTTCTTTAATAATATTACCCAAAGCATTACCATTAAGGATCCTCCATGAAAGAGATCTCTTTTATTTTTTATTATTTATTTATTATTTATTTATTTATTTATTTATTTATTTATTTATTTATTTATTTATTTATTTTTTAGAGATCTCTTTTAATAGTTTCTTGAAATAGCATGGGAACTGAGTGATGCTGAGTGAGGATGGATCCTCTGACTGCACCATAACTGAATTTATGCTTTCTCTTTAGAAAGTTTGGCAAACTGCAAGAACTGTTTAAACCATTTGATATCTAAAAAACTCACAAGAATGTATTAATACTTAATAAGGATAAAAGATCAACATAAATATATTTCAGCATTAATCTGGAAGTAGATTCAACATTTTATTTAGCAACTAACAAAGCACAACCCTTTCTTTTGTTTTTAAAATTTTTTTTTATTGGAGTTCAATTTGCCAACATATAGCATAACACCCAGCGCTCATCCCGCCAAGTGCCCCCCTCATTGCCCATCAGCCAGTCACCCCACCCCCAGCCGCTACTTCCCCTTCCACTACCCCTTGTTCATTTCCCAGAGTTAGGTGTCTCTCATGCTTTGTCACCCTCACTGATATTTTCACTCATTCTCTCTCCTTTCCCTTTATTCCCTTTCACTAATTTTTTTTAATAAATTAATTTTTATTGGTGTTCAATTTACCAACATACAGAATAACACCCAGTGCTCATCCCGTCAAGTGTCCCCCTCCGTGCCCGTCACCCATTCACCCCCACCCCCTGCCCTCCTCCCCTTCCACCACCCCTAGTTCATTTCCCAGAGTTAGAAGTCTTTATGTTCTGTGTCCCTTTCTGATATCTCCCACACATTTCTTCTCCCTTCCCTTATATTCCCCTTCACTATTATTCATATTCCCCAAATGAATGAGAACATACACTGTTTGTCCTTCTCCGACTGACTTACTTCACTCAGCATAATACCCTCCAGTTCCATCCACGTTGAAGCAAATAGTGGGTATTTGTCGTTTCTAATGGCTGAGGAATATTCCATTGTATACATAGACCACATCTTCTTTATCCATTCATCTTTCGAAGGACACCGAGGCTCCTTCCACAGTTTGGCTATCGTGGACATTGCTGCTAGAAACATTGGGGTGCAGGTGTCCCGGCATTTCATTGCATCTGTATCTTTGGGGTAAATCCCCAGCAGTGCAACTGCTAGGTCCTAGGGCAGTTCTATTTTTAACTCTTTGAGGAACCTCCACAGTTTTCCAGAGTGGCTGTACCAGTTCACATTCCCACCAACATTCTCCACATCCTCTCCAACATTTGTGGTTTCCTGTCTTGTTAATTTTCACCATTCTCACTGGTGTGAGGTGGGATCTCATTGTGGTTTTGATTTGTATTTCCCTGATGGTAAGTGATGCGGAGCATTTTCTCAGGTGCTTGTTGGCCATGTGTATGTCTTCCTCTGTGAAATTTCTGTTCATGTCTTTTGCCCATTTCATGATTGGATTGTTTTTTTGCTGTTGAATTAATAAGTTCTTTACAGATCTTGGAGACTAGCCCTTTATCTGATGTCATTAGCAAATATCTTCTCCCATTCTGTAGGTTGTCTTTGAGTTTTGTTGACTGTTTCTTTTGCTGTGCAGAAGCTTCTTATCTTGATGAAGTCCCAATAATTCATTTTTGCTTATGTTTCTCTTGCCATCATGGATGTATCTTGCAAGAAGTTGCTGTGGCCAAGTTCAAAAAGGGTGTTGCCTTGTTCTCCTCTAGGATTTTGATGGATTCTTGTCTCACATTTAGATCTTTCATCCATTTTGAGTTTATCTTTGTGTATGTTGTAAGAGAATGGTCTAGTTTCATTCTTCTGCATATGGATGTCCAATTGTCCCAGCACCATTTATTGAAGAGACTGTCCTTTTTCCCACTGGATAGTCTTTCCTGCTTTGTCGAATATTAGTTGACCATAAAGTTGAGGGTCCACTTCTGGATTCTCTATTCTGTTCCATTGATCTATGTGTCTGTTTTTGTGCCAGTACCACACTGTCTTGATGACCACAGCTTTGTAGTACAACCTGAAATCTGGCATTGTGATGCCCCCAGCTCATGTTTTCTTTTTTAATATTCCCCTGGCTATTCGGGGTCTTTTCTGTTTCCACACAAATCTTAAGATGATTTTTTCCAGCTCTCTGAAGAAAGTCCATGGTATTTTGATAGGGATTGCATTAAATGTGTAAATTGCCCTGGCTAACATTGACATTTTCACAATATTAATTCTTCCAATCCATGAGCATGGAATATTTTTCCATCTCTTTGTGTCTTCCTCCATTTCTTTCAGAAGTGTTCTGTAGTTTTTAGGGTATAGATCCTTTACCTCTTTGGTTAAGTTTATTTCTAGGTATCTTATACTTTTGAGTGCAATTGTAAATGGGATTGACTCCTTAATTTCTCTTTCTTCAGCCTCATTGTTAGTGTATAGAAATGACACTGACTTCTGGGCATTGATTTTGTATCCTGCCACACTGCCGAATTGCTGTATGAGTTCTAGCAATTTTGGGGTGGAGGCCAAGTGCACAGTTGGCCGAGCATCAAACAGAGAGGCTCAAGGGTCCAAACTATGGGGGTAAGTACAGGTGATGTCAGGAGACATACCCAGTAGTGGAGATGGAGAGTAGCACTTCTAGCAAAAAGTTCTGAATGTTCCTACAACACTAAAAGCAACTGTGGCTGCTCTATCTTAAGAAAGATATAATGAGGATGACCATATAACATATCGCCCACTTCTGAGAGTAAAAGGGGACACTATTATTAATTATGCTGGGACAAAAGGAGTAAGCTGGGTTAGTCCGGGGCCAACCAAGACATATTGTCACCTTTAACGTAAAGAGCATTAGGGAGACACACTAATCTAATTTTTCAAATTTCCACAGAGGGGAAAGCAGGGGAGTAACACTCCAGTTTCTCTGAGGCCTCTTCCGTTCTTCTCTAAGGAAGAAACGGTGTCTGATCTGCCTGAAGAGGTTGGCTGGTTGGTTGGTTGGTTGGTTATTTATTTATTTAAAGATTTTATTTATTTATTCATGAGAGACACAGAGAGGCAGAGACACAGGCAGAGGGAGAAGCCTGACATGGCACTCAATCCTGGGTCTCCAGGATCACACCCTGGGCTGAAGGCAGCGCTAAACCGCTGAGCCACCTGGGCTGCCCTGCCTGGAGAGTTTTAGAGAATGAATTCAGTATGCTTGGCTCAGGGTCTCTTGGGTTCCCCTCACTGTTCTGGATGTGAGCCTGCCGGCAGAGGGTGCAGTCAAGTCTGATTTGCCTGCCTGCAAATCAGAGGAAGCTCCAGCAGAACAGAGGTCAGAGATTGAGTAGTGAAGGCTGCCTCCTAAAGGGGTGAAATGCCAGTAAGCCCATGTAGATGCCGAGCTAAAGCCATGTTCACTCATCAGCTAGCATTCTAAACCAACACTGTTTCCTGGATCTGATTTCTCTATTGACTCCAAACAAGTGAATGAAGACAGACTTTACTATTTATGGCTTCCTCCCAGAACTTCATAGAGATTAAAAAAATATTTTTAAGAAGAAGACTGAAATAATCTGAGGGATAGAGTAGCTTCTTTCCTTCCTTTCCCTCTCTCCTCCTTCCAAACATTTAAAAAGAAAGAGCAACAGGGATTGGAAACTATATAGGGAACAGAGCAAGAGGAGAGGAAGAAGCAAATATGCCTCTGAGCATCTGGCCCGGATGACTAAGAGCATGGTGCCTATGACAGAAAGAGGGATGGGGTGACTTTAGGAGAAAGATGTTCAGTTTCATTTTAAATATGTGTATTAGAAGTGCTACTAGGGCAATTTTTTTAAGTCTCAAATGCAGTAGGAAATACAGAAACAGAATTCAAAACAGGACAATACTAGAGATTCAGTAAAAGGTCCAGCTATAATTAATTAATAGTTAAAGGTCTAATGATAAATACATTCTACAAGGGAAAATAGGAAAAGGCAGAGAACTGAACTGGAACAATCAGTGTACAGGAAAAGGAAGGAAGACCACAAATAGAGACGTGCCCGAGCAAACTAACACCACATTCACAGGCTTTAAAAAGTCAAATTCTCTGGTATTACATATCAGTTTAAAGTAGCTGGTTTCACCATATGGAATCTACTGATGAAAGCCTTATAGACAAGGGCAGTATGTTATAAACACCCAACAAAATACAGAGATCTTAAGTGCTCATTCAGTTATAAAAATGAGTTTTGGCAATTTGCATGTCCTTCCTAACTGCCACCCCAGCAAGGTAGAGGACATATTCATCATTCCAGAGAATTATTTTAATTCACCCACTTTCCCATTACCCACATTTTCCAAGTGCTATCAGCATAGATGGGTCTGCCTGTTGTTGGACTTTAATTAATGGATAATTGAATACCTGTTCTTTTGTGTCTGGCTTCTTCTATTCAATAAGTTTCTGAGATTGTTGAGTGTTATCAATAGTCTTTTCTTTTTTACTGTTGAGTAGTATTTCACTGCATGAATATACCAAAAATGATTTATCCATTCTTCTGTTGATGGGCATTTGGAATGTCCCCAGGTTTGAGTTATTATGAATATGGCTGTCATGATCTTTGGGAGAACATGTGTTTTCATTTCTCTTAAGACAATGCCTCATGGGCAACTGTGGAAAGTTCTCCAGAATGGTCACATAATTTTACATTGCCACCAACTAGTGAAAGTTCCAGCTACTACTCTACAATCTCCCCAATCTTTGGTGTTCTCAGTGTATTTGACTCTAGCCCTTCTAAGAAGTGTGAATGACCTCTCGCTGTAGTGATGACTAAGGATGATGAGCAACTTTTCATGTCTTTATTGTCTATTCCTTTGTCTTCTTTGGAGAAGTGTCTGAGTTCTTTGGCCATTGTGAAAAACAACTTTATTGAGGTATATTTTGCATATCATAAAATTAATCTGTCTTAAGTGTTCAAAACAATGAGTTTTAATAATTTACTGAGTTGTGCAACCATCACCACAATCCAGTTTAAGAACATTTTGGTCACCCCAGTAAGATCCCTCATGTTATTTAATCTCTACCCCCATCCTCACTGTTGGGCAACCACCACTGATCTACTTTCTATCTCTATAGATTTGCCTATTCCAGACATTTCACATAAATGGAATCATGTAGTAGTTGGTCTTTTGTGTCTAGTGTCTATCACTTAGCATAAAACATTGAGGTTTGCTCATGTTGTAGTATATATACTATTTCATTCCTTTTTATTGCTGAATATTATTCCACTAGATGATTACACATTTTATTTATCCTTTCATTAGTTGATAGATATTGAATTGTTTCTACTTTGGGGCTATTATGAATAGTGCTACCATGAATATTTACGCGCAAGTCTTTGTGTGGACATATGTTTTCGTTCCTCTTAAGTAGATACATACCAGTAGAATTGTTAGGTGATACAGTAAATCTATTTTTATCCTTTTAAGAACTGCCAAACCTCTTTCTAAAGCACTTGTACCATCTTACATTCTGCCCAGCATTATACTAGGGTTACCATTTCTTCCTATCCTTATCAATAGATGTTATTATCTGTCTTTTCTGATTATAATCATTCTAATGAATATACAATAGTGTCTCACTGTGGCTTCAATTTACATTTCCCCAATGACTAATGGTGTTAAGTAGCTTTTCTAGTCATTATTAAGCATTTGTATATCTTTTTTGGTGAAATGTCTATTTAAATATTTTGCCCATTTTAAAATTTGGTTGTCTTATTAATGAGTTATAACCATATTTTACAGATTCAGATATAATTCCTTTGCCAGATACATATTGCAAAGCCTACAACTTTGTCTATTCATTTTCTTAATAGTGTCTTTTGATGAACAAAAATTTAAAATTTTTATTAAGTACAATTTATCAAGTGTTTCTTTTATGGTTCATACTTTTTTGGGGCCTAAGAAATCTTTGCTAATCCTAAAGTTATGAGGATATTTTTCTAAATTTTCCTCTAAAAGCTTTAGGGTCCTAGCTTTTATGATTAGGTCTCTGATCCATCTGAAATTAATTTTTGTGTATGGAGTGATATATAGTTGAAGTTCATTTTCCTTACGAATATCCATCCACTTTTTCCAGCACCATTTGTTGCTCCCCTTTTCATTGAACTGACTTGGCAACTGAGCTGTAGATTAAGTGATCATATGTGTTCATCTATTTCTGGATGCTATACTGTTCCAATGATCTACTTGTCTATCCTTATGTCAATACCACAATCTTGGTTATTGAGCTTTATAGTAATTCTTCAAATCTGGTAGCCTATGTCCTTTATCTCTGTCCTTTTTTAAGACTACCAGGCTAACTGGAGCCTTGTATTTCTATATGTATTTTAGAATTGGCTTGACGATTTTTTCAAGACAGACTTAGTGGGTCTAAACTGGGAATGTATTGAATCTAGATATCAATTTAAGGAAAATGAACATCATTAACAATAAATATTGTTTATTTATTATGAATAATAAAAATATTATTAATTCTGTGAACGCAGTGCATCTCCTTGATTACTTCAAGTCTTCATTAATTTCTTTCAGGGATATTTTGTAGTTTTCAGTGTATCTTGTGCATCTTTCAATAGTTTTGCTCCAAGGTATCTTTTTTTTTAAAAAATATCATTGCAAACAATTTTAAAACAATTCCATTTTCCAATTGGTCTTTCCTAGAAATAATCTTAATATTGCAATCATGCTGAACAAAATGTATAAATTGTTTATTTTATAGATTGGAGTTCAGTCTATAGAAGGACTACCTGAAACTCACTCATAGCCATTCATTTTTTAACCAAGGTAAATAATTTCTGATTCAGTGATATAAAATGAATGCAAATTTTATTCCTGCTCCCTCTATATTAAAGAAGGCATAGCAAGCAATTTTGGTTGGAGTACAGTCTATATTTATGTGTAAGACTACACTATTAAACACCGTGTAATACATAAGATAGACAAGCATTATTACCTAAGAGTTCTTAGAGAAATTTTTCTACTAAGCAATAAAAATAGTGTGGGGGTAAGGGTATATTAAAGACTTTCACTAAGTCTCTACTAATGCTCTAAATAAATATTAGCCATAAATACTAACATATCTATCCTAGCGATACTAAATTAAATATATTTTTGAAGGTTCAATAGCCAATAATAAGGCTACCCTGTAGTTAAGAATGTATCTGATTTATTAAAATATTTATTTAGAAATTTTTAAATTTGTCTTTAAAACAAATGTAAAAAGGGGGCATTTTTATTAAGATTTTTATAAAGGATGTCATTGTATAGTCCTCAAACTGAAGGAAATAAAATATAAAATTAGATGCAAGGATGTAATTACGAGTCAGTTAAGTATGATATCCACCCATTGCTTATGTGCTTATGTACATTATAATTTGGGGTTTTGGAAAGCTCACTATCCAAGCAAGAAGAGAGAGAAGGGATTAGGTGAATGAGCACAATATAAAAGATTTCCGAATCTCTACCTCCATCTTCACAGTCTTCAGGGGCTTTGGCTTTCTTACAAAGACGAGGATCCAACCAGGTTGTTGTCTTGGTGTTGTGGCTGTAGAATAAAGATCTCAATTAGAAACAGTACGATGAAGAGAGAGAAAAGTATCTCAAAAGCAAAGATTAAAAGTGACCAAAACGTATATGATGTTTGCACATTATCTCCTACAGCCTCTGTACCCTCGGATTCGATCATCTGTACCCTCGGATTCAATCATCTGAGGACTGCTACTTTAAAACTTCCGTAAAGGGATGGTAATGCTAGAGGCACTAAAGTAAGAAAGAAGAATCTACAGAAGGGGAAAAATACCAAGTACAGATTAACAGACACTGGTTGAAACAGTCAAAAACATTTCAAAGGTTGGGCATATAGCCCCATACTGTGCATCATCCTGTTGAAAAAGCTGCATCGAATTCCTTCCTTGTTTGATGCTTACTATTTGGTGTTGGCTGAATTCCTTCCTTCCTCCCTTCAAAGAACATTGTATTCCTTGAGTACCTGCAACATGTGGGCTGTGATATAGTGATGTGCTGAGGGCTGGGATACAGTGATGAAGAGAGAGAGATGCCCTCTGCCCTCATAAGTGTTCTTTAAAATGAAAGAGTTTAATAAAATAAAAAAACTCCAAACCTCTATTTCTGCAATATGCAAGTAAAACTGATGGGTATATAGTTAACTCTACTCTACAAGATATGGGCTATAAAAAAAGAAAAAAAGATATGGGCTATATACCACATAGAAAAAAGAAAGCAGAACCAAAGGTCTCACTCCACTCTTTCACACACTCCTTTTTATGAAGGAGGCCATAGATGCTTTCAAAGAGCAGTGCAACCATGTAGTAGATACTGATGCTAAAACAAAGCCATCACACTGCTGAGTAGACAGTGTTATAGTTTAAACATCAGAAATATGAGGATATTAAAGAAATAAAAAACCATGGGGGAAAATACAGGAAAGTTATTATCAAAGCAGTGTGAGATTAATAACATGAACAAAATATCATTCCTTGTCATCTTTATTGTAAAATGAACTCCCTAATCTCTATATTAATTACTCTTAGGAAATTAAGCCAATGGTTTCAGAGAATTAATCATACCTTCTATGTCTTTTCTAACTCCTGAACCACCTAGGGCCATGCAACTGTTTCTTATGCATTACCAGGTAGGATACTAGCTGGTAGACTGTGGCAGAAACAAGTTTTTATGCTGAATAATGGATAATCTGAAGAGGAGAAACTGGGATTGTTCCTAGAAAATCTGTGTTATCCATTCTGTCAAAGAGATAATTTCTCCACACTCAAGCCAGTTAAATCAATTTTAGCAACATGAAAAGGATCAGGACTCCAAAGAGGCTTAGTAGCATGTCGACTGTTAGGAGAAAAAAAAAAAAAATCATGTACATATCTCAGTAAACGAAATTCACAATCGCTCCTTGAGAAAAACTTAACTTTGGTTTCTATGATCCACAGTTTTCATTCTTAAATTAGCAGATGCAGGCAATCTGCTAGGATTTTACCTATTTCCCAAGGTAAAGAAATGCCCAGAGGGGCTATATTCAAAACATAATAGCTAAAGGCTATAAAGACCTATTTTCATACAGATGCATGATTTAACAGTAGTAACACAGATCAAATACATTAGCTGCAGCAGCAAATACTATTCAGCTATAGGGTGGTTACAAACCCCCTATCAGATTTGCAAATATTTGTTCCTATTCTGCAGGTTGCTTTCCACTCGTTGATTGCTTCCCTTTGCTGCACAGTTTTTAAGTTTGATGAAGTCCCATTTGTCTATTTTTGGTTTTGTTGTCTTTAGTTTTTGTGGCATAGCCAAGAAGTCCTTGCCAAATTCAATGCCATGAGACTTTGCCCCTGTGTTTTCTTTTAGGAGTTTTATGGTTTCAGGTCTCATATCTAGGTCTTTAATGCATTTTAATAATGTTCAACTATAATGGCATTTCTTTTTTTTTTAATGGCATTTCCTTTATAAATTCTCTCTCCTCTCTATAATTTACTAACTTATCCCCATTTATAGGATAAAGCACTGTCAGGTTCAATATCTCATACCCTGCTTCTAAAGATACTCTAGCCACTTCTAACAGCTTTACATCTTACTTGGGGATTTAGTCCTAAAATCAGAATGAAAGTCAAGTCTAAATTACCTTTGAACAACACCTTTAATTGGCCATAAAGAAGAGTATATACCCGATTTTGTCTGTTTTTGCATACTCCTTGTCATTAATGTTTATATAAGTATATAATATAATCAATGCGCCGTGTATGGTAAAAAGAATACAACACACACAAAAAATGTATGTCTTTTAAATCCTATGAATCCGATTTGGTAAAGCAAGATCTTCAGTCTATGGGAAGGATGTGGTCCCATTCTATGTGACCAAATGAGGAAACAGATTCAAATCTCCCATCCCCAATTCTTTTTTTTTTTAGATTATTTATTTATTTATGAAAGACCGGGGGTAGGGGGAGGAGAGAGAGAGAGAGAGAGAGAGAGAGAGAGAGAGAGAGGGAGGCAGAGACACAGGCAGAGGGAGAAGCAGGCTCCATGCAGGGAGCCCGATACAGAACTCAATCCTGGGACTCCAGGGTCACACACTGGGCCAAAGGCAGGCACTAAACCACTGAGTCACCCAGGGATCCCCTCCCTAATTCATTTTTAAGGACATATTCCTTGACTATGGTATCCAGCCCTCAACATTTTAATTGTTTTTTAACTATTATATTCTATAACTTCACTACATTATATATTCTGCCTCTGTGAAAATTATTTTAAGGATGAGAAATACAGCTGCATAAGAATATAAAAATGCTTCATAACGAAACTTCCAAAAAAATTATTGGCATAATATTCTCTGGTACAAACCATAAAAAATTTATTCTGATCAAATACATGTGATATTCTGTATCTCTATAAATACATTTATACTTTATATTAATAGTGCTTTCTCATAAATTAGGGTTTGTCAATTCTTATTGTACCAATTAGCCTGAGGCTCAGTGATATTTCTCTTCTATGTTATTCAAATATGTTGCCTGAATACATCTAGAAAATGTATAAATGAAAATATTTAACTCAGATAATAAATATGCCCTCCATCACATGATGGTAATTCTTGAAATGCTCATTAGGTTGGACAATCTACCAAAAGTTTAAAAAAACATCAAGACAAAATACCCTTCATTCCTACATTTTTCACTATTAGTGATAAACCTGTTTTTAATCCTTCTTTTTTTATAAAACCAGAAGCCAAATACATGACTTGTTTGTCCAAGTCAAATAAAAATGAAACACCATCCAGGAAAATCATCAGATTAAGAATTAACTGTTACTACTATGAAAAATCTCCTTAAAGAAACAAAAAAGAAATGGAAGCCTTGTGAAATGAGGATAAAGAAATGGTAAGACAAAGCCTCACAGTGACAGGGCGTGTTGGGAGAGATACAGACATTTGCTTACTCAATGAAGTAGACCATCCCTGTGTCGGTGTAGGCCATCTCCCAGTTTTTGGGTAGTGGTTCCAGATTCTCATCTCTCATCATATAATTTCTGAAGTCCATGGAGCTATTTGTTTGGTTATAACTTGGGACAGTCTTCATCCAATCAGATGACTCAGAATGCCTCTCTCTGTTTTCTGCCATTCAACACAGAACAGTGTGCAAAGAAGGTAAAGTTACACTCTCTTCAAACAGCTCCCTTCATTTCCAACAAAATGTTAAACATTTATTGCACATTTCCTTGTGCATTATATCTACCCTCTCCTACAAGTTTTGAAGTAGCAAATAGACATACTGAATATTTTTCATCTGCTAAGTGACATTAACTCAGTCTAGCACCTCTCACGCCAGTCTGGGAAAGAAGTGAAAAGCAACCCTAGAATCAATTTGGTACATTGTGACTACTGACAGTAAGGGCTGTAGGGGTGCTTACACAGTCCCTTCATGGGCCAGGCTCTAATTGAAGCGCTTTATATATATATGAACTCATGATCCTCACAGCAGCCCTGTGATTACTTATTATTACTATTCTGGTTTTTGGATTATAGATGAGGAAACCAAGGCACAGTGAGGTTAATTTAGTAACAGCAAAGTCAGGATTCAAATTTAAGTGGTTCATGCTCTTATGTGCATGAACCAACCTGTCTTGTATACATTTTAATACAGGTCTTTAAAATAATACCAGTTTAAAAATTACGCTCCATACACTTCCTGTTAAGTATAATTCTCTGTTGGTGACATTACAATCCTTTGAAAGTCCCAGAGTCCTTAAGGTAAATAAGAATACTAAAATTTGGCTGCCATCTAGGGAATTCACAATTCATGCACTTCAAACTCATTTCTAGACTTATAACAACTCCAAACTGCAGGAGATGCCTCAGAATGAGTGAATCTTAGAAGAGGCCTTAGATTCATTACACGTAGTATTTCCACTCCAACTGTCCTTTATCCAACCGAGTTCTGTAACTCATTAATACTACTACTTACTACCCCTCACTGTTCCTCAGCTGTCCCCCAGTCTGTGCCCTAACCATGTCGTCATTGCCCTACTCATGCAACTTAAGTTCTGTAATCAGCCACGATCATGGCTCCCTTGCAAACACTACTGCTTCCTCTGCCCCAACCTTACTTCTTCACTCAGTGTACATGCCCGGCTGAACCACAACTCTGCTTAAATCTTTCCATCTACTCGACACCATCACCTGTAGCTAAACACAGGTAACACTAACTAGTTCACTTCTACTATATGATCGCTAACCTCAAGAGGGCATGTAATGGCATATGATAATCACAGGAACCTTCTTTAGTCCATTCACTCTGACACTCTCCTAGATAACTATTTCATACATTCTTTCTTCTGAGATCTACCACTACTTATCCCTAATCTCACTGGATGACCTTGTTTCCTCCACATAGCTAAATCCAACGATCATTTCTCGGTGGCCATCTTATCTGAGCATTGTTGAGCATTCTCTTCTCCTGGCTTCTAGGATATTCCACCCTCCTGTATGCCTTCTGTCTCACTGGCTCGACTCAGTCTCCCTGACTGCACATATTAGAAGGCCTTCTTAGGGTTCACTCTTTGGCCATTTTTTCTTCTCTTTCTATAGTTACTCTCTTGGAACTCATTCAGTGTCACCGCTGTACAAGCTGTATGCTGATGATGTCCCAATATACATCTTCAGACCAGACATAGACTTTTAAATCCAAAATCAAACATGACATTTTCATTTGGATGTCTAATGAGCATCTCAAGCTTACATATCCCAACTGAAGCCCCTACTACACTTTTCCAACCCAAAACTGACTCCTCTTAAAATCTACCTCATCTCAATAAATGCGACTCCATTCTTCTACTAGATATTCAAGTTAAAGCCCTGGAAATGATCTTTGACTCTGCTCTCTCTGACCTCAAATCCAGTCTGCCAACAAATGTTACTGGGTCAGGCCACTTCCCTGTCACATATTCATCAGAGCCAAACCACTATTTCTCACTTAAATTACTGCATTAACCTCTTAACTAGTATCACTGTTTATGCCTACCCTCCTACTGCCTATTTTCAATTCAGTAGCAAGAAGGAGACTATTAAAATCTGTTTTATCATGTCACCCTTCTACTCAAAACCCTATAATGGTTTCTCATCTCAGAGTAAAAAGCAAAATTCTTCCAACAACATATAAGATCCTACATAATATCATTTCCACACCCCCCAATCATTGCTTACTATTCTATTTCCTTCCATCACTCTGTTCCAACCACATATAAAAATCTTTTTTTTTTAAGATTTTAATTTATTTATTCATAGAGACACAGAGAGAGAAAGAGGCAGAGACCCAGGCAGAGGGAGAAGCAGGCTCCACGCAGGCAGCCCGACATGGGACTCGATCCTGAGCCTCCAGGATCACACCCCAGCCTGCAGGCGGCGCTAAACCGCTGCGCCACAGGGGCTGCCCTGTTCCAACCACATATAATGCATTGTCCATATTGTATCCAATTATATTGGTTTCCTTGCCTTTGTCTGAATATTCCAGGCATGCTCCCACCTCAGGGTATTTTTCCCCCCTCAGGGCATTTGTACTTAAAATTCCCTCTGGCTGAAATGTTGTTCTCCTGGATATTTTGAGTTTACATTATCACTTCTTTCAAAGTCCTCTTCTCAGTGAGATCTTTTTTGCTACTCTATCTAAAATCACAAATTGGCCACTGCTACTTTTTTTTTTTGGCCACTGTTACTTTTTATCCTTCTCCTATTCTGCTTTGTTTTTCTCTTTAGCACTCTCTAATATACTACATGCTATATTCATTCATGTTGGATATTTCTTTCCCACTAGAAGGCAAAATTTTGAAGACGGAGGAGTTTTTGTCTGTTTTGTTCAGCGCTTTTTTCGAGCTGTTAGAAAAATGCCTAGCATGCAGTAGCTTAGCAAGTGCTCAATAAATATTTGTTGAATGAATAGCTTGAATAAAACACAAGATTCATACTCCAGGCAAAACAAAAGTGACAGAAATTAAAAGGCACCCAATGTGTAAATCAATCTGGAAGGGAGTTACATTCTTGGGACAGAAGTATGATGGAGGAAAACAAAGGAACTATATGATTTCTCATACTTATCTGAATATAATTCGAAGTCACTGTGTATTAAGTTTCCTTAATAGTCAATGACTTGACAATACTGTTTATGTAACAACCATCTCTTGGAAAAAGATTTTATTTTAGCATTATTATATAACATATATCATCCTATGTGGGCATATTAGCATTCTTACATTCTTCAGCAAATATAAAATAATATACATGTTGGAATATACAAATAAATCTTTAACTCTTCTTTCCCCACTGCCATCCCCAACAATTTTCTGATTGTTCAAGGCAGGAATTCTAATCCCCAAAAGCAATACACAAAGTGTATTTCAATAAGTTAACAACTAGACTTAGTACTTATTCAGAAAAGACCAAGGGCATTTAGTCATGTCTTTTATTGTTTTTTCACTCAAATAGTCTGAATATTTTCTCTTACCAAGACATACATAATCCAGTGGAAGTGTCCTACGGTATCTACACACAAGAGGTAGTATACAAGCGGCCTCCCACTCTTGGATACACTCCCTTTAAATATGACCACCAGAAAGTTAGTAGCATCTGGCTTAGCAACCAGCTTACATGATAAGCATAAAACTGTGGAGATCACAAGATAGGTTTCTCTCTAAAAGAACTCCAGTGGTAACAGAGAAGCTCCACATCAGAAAGTAAAAACAGAACATCTCCCCCATCCCCAAAATAAGAATATACAAATTCCCACATTGGGATAGATTCATGGTCTCTAATCCCAGTCTTAAACATTTAAGAATGTTAAAAGACTTAATTCTGTGGGAGAACAAGGCGGACATCAACATCAAAAGGCTCTACTGTATGATGATTTCCCTTAATAGCCCTTAAAGAATTAGATGTAAATTCACTTAAACCTTTTTAGGCCTCTTTGCAGTCTCTACACCCAAATACACTGGGGTAATAAACATATTATGTGTCGTGTTATTATGTTATTATGTGAGATGTTAGGACTATAAGACAGGACTCACACTCTGAAGGAGGACACAAATGAACATATTAAGACAGTAAATACAATATACACAACAAATTTCAATAGTTGATAAAAAAAATCAGATGCTTTGGGAAAATAATATGGTAATGGGTTCTGCAAATTTGGGGATGTGATCAAATTCATTCATCTATTGTATATCAATAAAATATTTTCTTAGTTCCTAGTTTGCACCAGGCACTGTTTATGATTAAAGGATGCAGCAATGAACAAAAGCAAAAACTTTCCGGCCCTTATGAAGCTCATATTCTAGTGTTTTGAATAAAAAAATTATAATAAATAGCACTGAAATTAGTTCTGCTGTTATTCTGTGGCTTCCTAGTTACACACTCAATTAGAAGAGTAAGAATCTCCGAAGCAACCATAACATATTTTAGGGGTACACAAAGGAAGATTCTCCACCACTAAATTTCTGGTGATTTTGCATTTAATGAAAAATAAGAGTCAGGTTTGGAAATTTATTTGAGTGATTCACAATTTAAACTCAACACACAGCTAACAAATCTTTCCGATAATTTTTACTGGCATGTTTCTATCCCTCTGCATTTTCAGTTGAAGGCTGGATCTTAAAACTGTATTTTTTTTCATGTCCTGTAAAGTATGACTTAGGCCAACAACATTCTCATACCTTGGAACCTCAAATCTTTTAAGCAGTAGGATCATAATATATTATATTATTACTAATGATAGCTTATTACTGACTTTTCAAAATTGCCACTTGGTGCAACTCACTTCAGTTTCTAAAATGGTTGACAGAGATACACTTTGTTCCATACACAACCTTTAAAAAAAAATTAGAATCACATCACTTGCTCTGTACATGCTTTGGGATAGATTTTAACTACTTTCAATTTAGTGTCACATTAAAGTCCACCTGGAAGATAGATCAGTTAAAGTTATTCATCTATTCACAAACCTGCAGTTCCACTGCCATTAATAGCTTCCTTGTCCTCATCTTCTTCCTCTTCAGGAAGAGAGCTGTCCATTCTTTCCATCTTGCTGACAGACGTAGTTCGTTTCCTTTGGGATTCTGTGTCAAACTCATTATCAAAGAGGACCTGATCAACTGGATCTGGCTGGAAAGGGCTGGGTTCTGCTGGAGGCTTAGGAGTTCCATAAAAGTTTCCTGAAATGGACAAAATAACAGCAGCTGAAAGGAATGATGTTGAATTGAGAGTCAGAACAGTATGACCCAGGGTACGTCTCTGCCCTGCTGTCTTATATCAAGGATTCTGAATGACCACCACTGGCCAAAAGGAAGCCAAAACACTTCTTCTTGGAAGTGGAGGAGGGAGAAAGAACAGAAAGAACTAATTTCTCAAGTACCCTTCATCATGGTATTCTAACATTATCTAACTTTTTAATACTATTTGTACTAAGGATAGGAAGTTGACTTCATGTACACAGATTATTTATTCCTACAGGGCTTACTTTGCATGGGCTCTAAATTATGGCCTGATTGTGAAATTAAATGCATCAATGCTCTTTTGTTAAGACTAATTGGCATAAGAAGTGGGAGTTAAAGGAAGAGAAAATGAACTCAAAGAATTCTGCTCTGATGTGTAACATAATGAACCATTTTGGTAAAATGAGGAAATATGTGGGTAAAGGATAAAGCTATGAACCAGCGTGTGCTAAAATGTAGGCTGTTTATGTAAAAGTAATTTTTAGGTTTTCTGAGCATTCTAATTATATTATTTTATTTGACAATTTATTGAACAAATAGAGACATTATTAGCATAATTCAATATTGGCTTGCTCTCAGAAAGCAAGAAATACTTTAATATGCTACATCTTGAGGATCAGGAATTTTTGCAGTAAAAATAAATGTTCCAGAGTAGAATGAAAACAACTGAATATCTTCTTAATTTGTCATGCAGTTCCCAGGAGGCAGCCAAATACAATGGAAAACCATTCAAAAGGTCTAGCTTATTAACAGTTTACGGCTGCAAGTTTTTACCTTTTATCAGCCACTATGCTAATGCTATAGAAAGATAGATATGGGTAGGGAATAAAATATTTGTGATCTTCTTTCGTTTATTTATTTTTAAAATCACACCTTCTAAAAAAAAAAAATCACACCTTCTAATCAAATTCCTGGGCTCCTAAGGAGGCAATTAAGACAATCATCACATAAAGTAAATTAATAGGGTATATGATGAATTATTTGTCCCAGATGAGAAAAAGCATAGGTTGTTCACGATAATACCAAGGCAAATCTACAAGTCGGTTTACCTTGAGTCATGTGTGCCTTGAGGGAAAAGCATTAAGATAAATCTTTTGGAAATCTGACTTTGGGCAGTAATTGTCATTAAAATATTCAAGACAAAACAATGAAATCAAAGCAAAATACATTTTCAACTACATCTCGCCTCCCCCTACTCAAGGATTTCCCTTGCTTCCAAATCCACATTTGAAATGGAATTACTCCTGTCAGGCAGACGCTGCAAAAATTCTCATTAAAACAGACTCAGAGGGTCTCCGCAAACTTTCTGGCCCATAGTAAAACAAGGACCCAGTGAAGACGCCAGCTCACACTTCTCTGGGGCAGAAGGCCCAGAAATGTTCTAAAGAGAGGTCTGGTTGGGGAACAGGATGCTCCAGGATCTCAATTTTTTCCTGTATTATGTCCAACAATCATGCTACCCTGGAATTTGTATATTCCATGACAAAAATCAAATATCCACCTTCCCTACGGATGGTAGTTTTAGTAGCAACACTAGACACACATTGTACTGCGTAGTCTTGGTAATTACTATCTCACACTAGGTAGCTGAACTGTTTTCTTGGGTGAAATCAGACAAATTTAGGATATTTTGATTATCCCCCATGATCATTAAAATTTTAGGACTTTGTAATAAATCCCAGTAGCTTCCTTATTTAAACACACCTATTGGACTTTAATTAAAAAAGAAAATAAGCATTGCATACAAGGAAATTAGATCTATGTTTCTTGAGTTGTTGGTAAATAACCAGATTTCAGATATAGTAAGGCATAAAAATGACATAGTTTGTGAATCCTGACTACAGGTATTGACAGAAAAAAGTTTTCATCTTTTTGAAGCTGCTCCCCCCCGCTTTGTCCTTTTCTGTTTTTTTTTTTCATTTTTCAAATAGAACTATGAACTATTAAGTATTTTTGATACATACAAAATCACAGACAATTGTTTTAGAAACATCCTTATTTATTTAACTTCTGCCAGCTTCCTTTCAGGTTTCCATTTTTTTTCCCTAAGGAAAATATATATGGTCACATATTCAATTAAAGCCCTAACTTCCTGTCAATCCTTTCCATGCTCTCCCTGTACTGTCCTGAGGTTGGTATGTGTCAGTTCCCTGCACATTGTGTACAACTAGGATGTATATATATGCAGACATAACATAAGTACCACTGTTTTCAAAGGTTCATAAAGGTTTTTATAACATTTCGTATCTTTTTTACAAACAGTATGCTGTATGTATTTACAACTTTACTTTCATACAATTATATTTTTAAGTCTTGTTCCTGTTCATACATATAGATTCAAGTTTATTTAATTGCTGTATAATAATCCATTTTCATGAGCAAGTTAAAATGCATTTTATGAATTCCCCTACTAAAACAGAGTTGTTTCCATTCTCTTACTATTTTAAATAGCTCTGTAACGACTGTTCTAGTATGTGACTCCATATGCACATAGATAAGGATTTCTCTAGAGCAGGCATCCAGAGGGGTAACTGCTGGGTCACAGTTGAGTGCATCTTCAAATTTACTAGCTATTGCCAACATGCTCCCCAAAGGGATGGTATTCATTTTATACTCTTGCCAGCAGTATTTGGGAATTTCCACTTCCCACAATTATCAGGCTTTAAAATTTCTGTCCATCTGAAGGCTGTGAAACGGTACATTTCAATTTGTATTTCCTTTGAATTTAGCACATGGCAATTAATAATATGTAATATGCCACTTTGTTATCTCCCATGTTCTTATACTTAACAGAGGGAATGAGGGAGAATGTCTTTGTGATCTAAGAACAGAGAAGGATCTGTTAAAACTTCAAAAGCACAAACTCTAAGAAAAAGAGTGATAAATCTGACAAAAACTAAGGATTTCTGTTTAACGAAGAAACACAGGACAAGCCTATTAAGTGGCCAAATGGGAGAAAATATTTATATCCAATAAGAAATTAATATCTAAACAAATATCTAAGTATCTAAGGAATGTCCACAAACTGGAATGTGGATTGAGATCCAACTTTTAAAAAAATGTACAAAACAAATGAGAAGATAATTTGCAGAAGTCCAAAACACTAACAAGCATATGAGAAGATGTCCCAACTCTCTACCAGTGAAGCTAGAATTAAAAGGAGATATGATTTCTACAGCCATCAGAATGACAAAACTGTAAAACTGGATGATGAGGATGTCAAGCCCTTACTATAGCAGCTACAGGAATCAACCTCTCAAGCAAGGCTGGTGGGAATGCAGCTACCAAGCGGCCTCAACTGCTCCATCAGATTAAGTACCTGCAGACCTTAGAACCCGACAAATCTGCCTCTGGGTATATGTGCTACGACATCCTCACACAGGTGTAGAAGAAGAAGATGTTGCAGCTCTATCTGTGGTGAGGGAGGCTTGGAAGCAATCTGGAAGTCAATCACTAGGAGAGGGATTAAGTGAAATGCAGTGGCTTCACAATGTGGAGCACTGAGGGGGTTAAAAAGCAAGGAATTAACATGTGAATACAGGACAGCGACATGGATGAATCTAAAAAACACTGAAATAACTGAAAGTAGTTAAAAACTGAAAGATACGGAATACAGTCCAGATGCAAATAATAAATGCATGCACATAGGACACATTTTGCAAGAATGCCTATGAATAAAAGCATTCCTATTAAACACACCAGAATGGTTGCCTTTAAGAGTAGGTGAATGAGAATAGGCTATTGGCATCAAAGTAATAAGCAGTGGTCATTTCCTCTTCAGTGAAGAAGTCTTTACTGGCCAGTTTATCTAAATAAGACATTTCTACTATTTTCTTTCAATCTCATTTTTTGTTTCCTTCATAACATCCCCTTTTACAGTGATCTTGCTTTTTTCTGACTGCCTTTCCTACTCAGATATAGGATTTATTAAGGCAGTACATCTCAGTATCATTCACCACAGTATCCCTAGTCCCTCTTACAGGGCTTGGTACGTCATAGGTACTTAATAAGCAGGTTGCTGAATGAATGAAAGAAGGATCAAATGAATGAATGAGTGAATAAATGAAGGAATGAGTTGTGGGAGCTATGCTCAGAAAGGGCAGCTCTGAGGCAAACTGAGCAGGCAAAAGGAAATCACAGAAGACTGTGAACAGAGAGAGAGCAGTGGGCAGGTGAGTTGGATAGGGGGAAGAAGCAGCCACAGTAGGCCAGACACAAGGTCAGTCAGGGCCTACCAGGAGGTGTGAGAGTGAAAAGAAAGGCATCATGAAAGCTGCTCCAGGGGAAGAAATGGCTAGATATGGTGACAGACAGATGCAAAATATAGGGAAGAGGGAAATGCTGACTCTGTTTTGTGCTCACAGTGCAGCTAAAGAGAAGAATTATGAATAATTACTCTTTTGAATAAAACACCAAGCATACCTAGATATGCTGAATTCAAGGTTAGTGTTTTTTGAACACCATCTCTGGGTACTGAAGATATTACTGGGTAAGAAAGACATGATGTGGCTTTCACCAAGCTTGTGAAAAAGGCAACTCTAATAGTATGATAAAGCAATGATGGAGAAGTGTAGTGTGCCATGGGAATGGACAAGCCTGCCAGTGAAGAGTGTTAGATAAGGGAGAACAGAAGAGGGAACATGGCATCGTTTAAAAACTGAAACTGATCTTAAGTCTCTACTTCCTAGAAACAAGTGGGTAGAGAAGAAATGTGAAAGGAAAATCAATTACTCCATTTTTTGTTTTCATCGCAACCTCTACTCTCTTTTCTCCGAGAGACAAGCTATAGATGTTTTTTAAAGTACACGGTATTTGGATTTTTAACCACAAACAGAAAGCAAACAATAAACGCTTGTTGAGTTCATATTGACGAATTCGAATTACTACAAAATATGCAAACTGGCTAGTTTGAATGATTTCAGTACATTCTTCATAATCAGCTTTATAATATGATGGGACACTTCTGCTTATTATTTAATCCCATTTTAGGCAGTAAATTATAAATAGGCTAACCAAAAGAAAATTTTCCCAAGACCAACAGAAAACAACTTAAAAAAATGCTATTTCACTGATCAAATTCCCTTTGAGTAATTCTAGCCATCCAAGATAGTTTTCTGAGTTGCTGCTGCTGTCAATAGTTGGGGACATACCATCATATGTTCCACTTTCTAATAATGCTCCACTCTCTTCCAGTGCTTTGAACTGTTCAACAGAAATGAAATTATAGTCCACCCCTGGTACTTCCCCATCCCTGGGGGCCCTTGTAGTGCCTAAGGAAAAAACAAGAAAAAAAAGAGGTTGCTTTTAAACTTACAAAATATTGAGAATAATAGAAAATACACTCTATGGAGAACACATGGGAGAAACACTACTGAATATATGGTACCTTCTAGAATGAGGATCAGAAAATTTCAGGCAACATTTTTAGGTTTAAGTAGGACAATAATGTAAGATGACTAAATATACTTTAATATAATCTACAGATAGCTATGAAATTCAAACCACAAAGACTAAAAAAAGTTCTATTGTCAAAGAAAGCTTGACCTTCTAAGACATAATAGTTAATTCTTTTAACCTTAATTATCACTAAACATCTAGAGGAAAGATAAATCTACCAATGATCGGACTTCATATTTTGGGGGACATGGGGAATTTTTTAATTGAAGTATAGTTGACATACAGTATTAGTTTCCAATGTACATAGGCTTCTTTTTTATCAAGCTATCTTATGTATTTTTTCTTCCTGGTATAAATGTAAACTACTCTTCTACTTCCTAGAGTCATGAAAGACAATAATATGAGAGAAATAATCCCTTCTCGGCCTTTTGGCTAAGATCAAATGAAAAAGAGACAAACAATTTTTAAAAGTTCTTTTAACAAACTCTAGTTTTAAATCTTGGACAAATACTAATTATGAAATTATGTGAGATCAATGAATAAAAGGCTTAAGATAGGTATCTATATATTGCTTCTCAACCATTATTCTCTTTAAGCAATTTCAAAAATTTAAGTACACTGCTTAATGAAATACACTATGGCAACAGAATAGTAAATTCCTATCTATTAAGGAGTTCATGATAAAGTAAAATCTTTCAGATCAGAAGTATAAATTCAGGTTATGGCAGCATTGCTACACTTGACTGGATTTTACTGAAGATGAATCAATACTTTTCTTAGTTGATACTAGAAAAATTACTTCAAATAGTAGAAAATACAAAAAAGAGACCCAAGTATTTAGCCTCAAAACAGAGTTAGGATATTATAGCAAACCCTGTACACGAATGCCTTCTTAAACCTCTTCCTCCACTTATGCTCCAAGTCATTAAGGGCACTACAAGCCAAGAGACCAAGAGTTTGCCATCTTGCGTTCATCCCTCTATTCCATATCTGGTCAGTAAATCTGGTTGCTTCCATCTCCTCAATACCTCTAGGATTCATACACTTGTCTTCATTCTCACACTCACCTAATTCATATCTGTTTTGATGGTCTCATAGGGTCAACTCTTACTTCTTCCTGGCTATGCCCCTTACCCAGACCACAGCCTGTGACTTCTCTAAAACAATAATCTGAGCAAAAAATCTCTATCAGAGGTTTCCTATGATCTTTAGCATAAAAATCTTCTCTTGCCTCACCCCTTTCACATTCTAGGCTTTAAACATAATAGTTGTTTTTCTTTTTTCCTGGTTCTTTTAATGTTCCTTACACTTGCTTACCTCCACAAGGCCTTTGTCCAAGCCATTCCTCTCCCGAAGACTTCCTTTTTCCTTTCCCACTCTTACCTTAGCTAACCTTTAGGTCCTGGCTTAGAAAGTTTCTTTAGAGAAACTTCCCTGATTCTCACCTGGGATGGAATATGAAGGAATCATGTCTACATGGTTCAAAGTAATAGTCCCAAGTCTTAGCACAGCAAAAGAATCATAGTAGGTACTCGATATAGACAGCTGCCAAGTAAACTTATGTGAAATTTTACAAAAATTTAACTAGCACAGTGCCTGGAAATTTACTATTATTATACTTCATGGAAAATTATTAATTGCTCTTTTTATTTGCATTACATTCCATTATATTCTGTAACATGAAAATCCACAAAGATGATAATAAAACATTAATTAATGGTAATCTCAGAAAATAATGATTTATCCAATACTATAAGCAACAAAGATATTCAGCAAGTTTCCCCCTTGTTCTTAGCCAACTTTTCTAGTTTATTTTTTTATTGGAGTTCAATTTGCCAACATATAGCATAACACCCAGTGCCCATCCCATCAAGTGCCCCCCCTCAGTGCCCGCCACCCAGTCACCCCCACACCTGCCCACCTCCCTTTCCACCACCCCTTGTTCGTTTCCCAGAGTTAGGAGTCTCTCATGTTCTGTCTCCCTCTCTGATATTTCCCACTCATTTTCTCTCCTTTCCCCTTTATTCCCTTTCACTATTTTTTATATTTCCCAAATGAATGAGACCATATAATGTTTGTCCTTCTCCGATTGACTTATTTCACTCAGCATAATACCCTCCAGCAGTTCCATCCACATCGAAGCAAATGGTGGGTATTTGTCGTTTCTAATGGCTGAGTAATATTCCATTATATACATACACCACATCTTCTTTATCCATTCATCTTTCAATGGACACTGAGGCTCCTTCCACAGTTTGGCTATTGTGGACATAGCTGCTATAAACATCGGGGTGCAGGTGTCCCGGCGTTTCACTGCATCTGTATCTTTGGGGTAAATTCCCAGCAGTGCAATTTCCTTAGCCAACTTTTATTAAAAAATAAGCATTTGTCTGCTTTATATCACAGAGAATTGAAAATCTGGAAAACAACTTTTTTTTTGTTAAATACTTTTTCATTGTCAAATTTTTCTTTTCTCATGTATTAGCTAAACTACATTGTTAGATACCCCAAATCAATAGCTTTTAGCTCTATATTAAGTAAAAATTAACATTAGAAAATAAAGTTAATGATTAAATTTAAAATTTATAATTATCTGTGATAGATGGAAAAACGTGGCCACAATAATTTGTACCTCCTTTCATCAAGAGATGCGGCAGCCTACTGCTTCACCTCTGAAATCTGGACTGGATGTGTGATTTGCTTTGAATCATTTAATGTGGAGGATGTGATACTGTACAAGTTCAGGAATCTAGACTTCCATCTTTGCCTTCTTAGAATGGTTTCACCACCAAGTAAGTAAGTCCAGGTTACACTATGATGAGAAAGCCCCAGCCAACAAATAGCACCAAGGTTCCAGACATGCGAGGGAGGCCATTTTAGCCCCTCTCCTCCTGGTGGAGGTGCCAATGACTGCAGCCACATGAATGGTCCCAGCTGAGCTCATCTAACTCATGGGATCATGAGAAATAATAATATGATGGTTATTTTAATCCATTAAGTTCTGGGGTGTTTTATTATGCAGCAAAGGCTAATTGAAGTATTATCCAAATAAACTCTACTATAAAATATAATGATTATATAAAACCTGACTTAAGAGCAAGCCATATTATAGATAATACTATAAAAAGAGCACTGAACCAAGGGGCAGGAGCTATTCTGTGTTTTAAGCTAGAATTGTTAGTAATGGTACAATTTTAAGCAAGCACTTAATTCCTCTGGTTCATTCTCTTTCGGGAAAGTGTTAAGATGATGTTCGTGATTCTTTCCATTAGTAGATATGAAATGTTATGTGTGGCATATGTACATATCCAAGACATTAAAGTAGCTTTAATGTTAATTCTCCACAAATATAGGTATTACAAATTTCCCATCCTCTTCCCAAAACTGTGTAATCCATACACACAAAAAATTCTCCTTTCCTTTATCCTACCCTATTACCTTCGGCATTTCAGAAAATTTATCTTTATATTCTCCTCATATTCTATATATTTAATGTAAAACTTTCTATATAGCCTCTAGTCCCTACTATATTTTTCCTTCATATCTAAAAATTTTCCTGAGTTCTGCTTACTCATAGTCTTCAATTCCTCTCCTGTCAGTCTCTTAAGCCATTCTAAACAAATCACTGCCCCAACCACTCCACTGAGATAATTGGCTGTGTTCATCAGGAGTCTCCACTTTGCTTTAACCCAATGTTCAAGTCTCAGTCCTCATATTACCGAGGACCTATCAACATTTGCTATAATTGATGATTCCTCTTTTTGGTTTTATTCTGAAATACACAGACAGCTACATAAGACATATATGTAAGTTTAACAATAATAAACCCATCCAAGTGAAGAAACAGAGTGTCACCAAGAGACGAAAAGCCCCCTTGTATGCCTCCAATCATAAATCTCCCCTTTTTACCCCCAAACATACCCATCATCTTGACATTTGTGATGATGATTTCCCTTCTTCTTTAAAATGTTTTTTTTTAAACCAACTACATAACTCATTCCTAAGCAACACTGCTTAGTTTTGCTTGTTTTGTAACTTCATATGAACAGAATCATACCATATGCATCTTTTTATGTCCACATCAACATTTGTTGTCAGGTTCTTAAACTTCTGTCAACATGTAAAAGCATCTCACTGTATATTTAATGTGCAACTGGTTTATGAGATCACACATTCTTTTTCAAATATTTACTAGCCACAGAGATTTCTTCTGTTGTGAAGTGATTGTCAAGGTTTTTGCCACTTCTCTGTTGGGTTGCCTGTCTTCTAAAACTTGATTTGTTGTTCTTTACTACAGTACTTTATCAAATCTAAGTAACCAATAGCTTCCAAAATGCACCACTAAAAAAGAAAAAAAACTGGCAATTAAAATCAAAAGATTCCACCTACTGTAAAATACAATCCAACTGTAGAGAGGTTAAAGTGTGAAATAATTGTGTCTTCCCATTGATGAAGCACTGCAGTCCTTTGTCATACAGATGTGTTGCAAAGGGGGAGTTTCTGCAAAAATGTGAAATATGAGGGCACCTGGATGGCACAGTTAGTTGGGCATCTGACTCTTGATTTTGGCTTGGGTCATGGCCTAGGGGTCATGATATTGGGCCCCACAGTGGGCTCTACAACTCAGCACAGCCTGCTTAAGATTCTCTCTCCCTTTCCCTCTGCCCTTCCCACTTGTGCGCTCTCTCTCTCTAAAATGAATAAATCTTTTTAAAAAAATGTGAAATATGCTTTCTAGAAATGGTACTTTCAAAAAAAAAGAAAAAAAAAGAAATGGTACTTTCTGCAAAATTGTGTTCCTCAAATAGTAGAGATTACAGAGAAAATGGGGTCAGGGCTGATTTCTCAAAGCCTATTGCTACTTTGTAACCAG